TTGGCACATTTTAGTTGTCAAAGTGATTTATTTCATTCCATAAAGGAAGAATGAAAAAAAGCAACATACATAATTTAAGAGTTGGATATAGGTTTTACGAGGAAGGATGGAAGAGGTTATATTAAGACAGAGCAGTTGGCAACTAGTTACAGCAAACCCAGTATTAAAGAGACATGTAATTATACCTGATTCAGCTTTTAACAAAAGACAAGATATATCCTTAGGTTATAATAAATACAGACAGTGAAAAATTGTTATAGCACAACTAAACTTTCCGTTTGTCCTGCTTTCCAAGAAAGGCTGCTCACTGCATATGAATTTTTATTTCATTTGTGGCAGTTCAGGATTAATCACTACGATACAGTGATTGCTGTAGTAGGGCCCATGTGGCCAGTTTGTTGTAAAGAATTTTAGATTAGAAAGAAGAATTGCCTAACAGAACAAGTTGTTGGACATTTAAAATGACCAGAGAAGGCTGCAGAGTTTCCTTCATTGCAGAATCAAAAATCTGAGTTAAATGAGGAACCATTTGTCTTGAATAGTTAGGCATGATACCTACTGGGATCTGATGCTTTTAACTCTGGTAAGCCTTTTTATCATCTTACATTCCTGCTTTGGGTGAGGCTAGGCACAGTGCAATTAAGGGGGGACATTTCCTCCCTAATTTGTTCATATTTTCCTAGTATCTTGTAAGAAGGAGGTCATTATCATTATTCCTATTTTGGTGGTTTGCTAAGTCAGTGACTGTCTTGTTGGCAAAATGCCTCCATTTCTGACTTAACCTATGTTACTTCTGTCTGTGGGTCACACTTAGACACAAAAATACGTTTATTACAGAAGAAATCTATAAACTTATACAGAGGTGGGCAAAAGTAGGTTCATAGTTGTAATGCCAATAAATCATACAACAATTAATAATACAAGAATAAACTCATGTACTCACAACTGTAAACCTACTTTTCCCAACCCCTGTACTTAATTTGTCAGCACTAAGAAGAGTTGTGATGCTAACATTTACTGTTTGGCTTTGAAACAGCCACTGCTGACTTCTTGAGTTGCTTCACTAAGTCCCACCAGTCTGCAGAGTGGAGAGTTACTGCTCTGTCCCCACTGAGCAGAGGTGAGAGGCTCAGAGAGCCCCGGAAACGGGTCCACAGCCACACAGATAGGAAAGGATGCTGCTGGCATTCAGTCTGGGTCAGTCTGACTCCGGAGTCCAGGCGCTGACTCACTGCTGTGACATCAGTGGTTTCCAGCTGGGAATTTGCAGATTAGCGATTCTCTGTAATTCCCTTCTACAGAAACTTCCCTCATTTCCAAAGCTCTAGCAGTGTTTTGGGAACCATAAGATATCTTTAGAGCACTTGCTATCGAACTTGGCTACATTTTAAAGTTACTTGGAAGTTAAAAAAATAACACAAATAAAACCTGATAGCTCTGTCCCACCCTCCCATGTTCTGAGTTCATTTGTATGGAGTGTGACCTGGACATTGGGATCTTTAAATATCTCCCAGATGATTCTAATGTGCAGTGGAGTTTGAGAACTCCTGCTCTGGAACAATGCAGAATGTTAAATTCTAAATTTCTATTAGTCAGTAAAAAGATAATAATAATAATATTTTTATTATAGAAGTACTATATATTTACTTTAGACACTACAGACAAACCAATGAAAATTATTTGTGATTCAGTCACTGAACAATAACCAGCATAGGATTTGACTATGTACTTTTTTATTTTGTGGATGTTTGTGTATTTAAAGCCTTAACTGTATTGTTACTCTTCTGTAGAATTTTATATACTTAAGGCCATACTGCCTTCTATCTCTCTTATATAGTCACATGCTTTGCCAGACTGAGAAATTCTTGATTCTTATGCACATATAGTAGTATTGTTGATTAACTCATATAGGCCAGTAACTCTCGAAGTGGAGTAATGTCTCTATTCATGGAGAATTTGTATGTTATTTGAGGCGGTGTTAATGAGATGAACCAGTTGGATGTCTCTCTGTTGTACCCTGGCTTATACAGCACTTCTTCAGAAAAGTAACCTCGGTTTGCTTCCGTGCCTGCCTTTCTAAGGCAAAGCCCAGGTGGTTCGAACCCCCGGGCTGTGGCATGCATTCACACCCAGTGAGCGCTGGGGTGTGTGAACAGGCACACAGGTGTGTTCCGGGATCTGAGGTGTGAGTGGTGGCTATAGCTTGAAAAAACTAATTACTCAAGTAAGTTCAGATGTGCCTGAAAAAAACTATTTGGGAATGGTGGAATAGTAGGAAGAGGATAAGAATAGGGTTGAGATGAGGAAGTGGCTAAGGGACCCTTTAGGATAGGTAAGCCGCAGATTCTTCAAGAAATGTGGAAAGTCCTGTAGATCCAGAAATATCCTGGCCTTGGCCCCCAAAAGGCTCACTCAGTCTTCCCTGGGAATAACCTCCTCCCCCCATCTCCTCTACCCTTCCATTTCATCACCCTACTAATTTGTCAGAATCAAAAGACTGATTCAGATATACTTTCAGAGTAACTACCAAAAAATGTTTGGAGTTTCCTGCTCCCCAAATACTGTCCTATTGAAGATTTGGATGAGAAACCACTGCAGTGTAATGGGGTTCAGTTAGGATACACCAGAGCCTGCCAGTTAACAACTGTCATTCCCTTTAAATAAGAGGTTGGGGTGGAGGGTCTCAGAGCACTTAAGGCTAATGAGGGCTGACCCTCTAGAGGAAGGGGTCCCTGTTACAGGTTTGCTGGCAGCTGTGTCTTCAGGTGGACCCAGACAACTCTGGGCTGTTTGCTGAGGTGCCTACTTTTGGTGGTGCAGCCGCAAAAACCAGGCACCTCTGCCTCGCATCATTTATGAAAGGTTTTCTGTTTCCTGCCCACTTCTTTTAGTGGAACTTTATAATCGGTAGATTTCTTAAGTCACAATTATTTACAATTTTTTGGTTCTTAAAAATGTAATTATTATTTTAAAAATGTGTTATAACCTTTCCTTGCTTATGATTGTCCATTTTAAACACATTTTTATTAAAAAGGAGATTTTACTGACACTTTAGGTCATCAGTATAAGATACATGCATAATTTATATTGCTGAAATCTTTTAGAATTGAGTCATTGTGTGGTTCCCAAAGTGACAGGAAAAATGAGAAGCTATTTCTTTCTTATTCTCCTTTTGTGTTGAACTCACAGTGACTCCTAGAGAATAGAAAGGCATTAAAGATAGTTAAACTCAGACATCCTGCTTGACTTAGAATTAAACAAAAACAAATTTAAAGAATTAAATAGCAAACCTGGTTTATTTATCTGAATGATGGTTATCTCCCTGTAACATCATAATGAAAGACAGGGAAATCTTTGTGGTTACATTATATAGTATAGCTAAATAAATAAAATGCTAGAGGTGATATGTTCAGGTAAATGTCAGATGTGTTCAGTCCAGCGACGCTCTGAGATTTCAAGAGTACTGTGCCAGCCGTCAGAGCCAGGAGGGTGTTATGATTTAATGCTAACGCTCTGCTGCTTTTGATGAGCTGGCCCAGAAAAGCATTTGAAGCAATAAAGCATCCATTTGGCTCCTAAGTAATGAGGGAGGCATTGCTCTTTGCATTAACTATTTATTCAAGAAGAGAAGTGACCAACCTCTAATAAGCTTTATCCAGAGAGGGTAGTGGAAAACGGAAGAAAATGCAAAGGGGAGGTTCTGTTCATTTCATATGCAATTCCCCAGTACCCAAAGCTACAGTTGGTGCTGCTCTTCCTGTGAGTCCGGCCAGCTGTATGTGAGTGGGAGTGCCTGTCAGATGCACTCAAGGCCTCGTGGTTTAAGGAAGGATTGTGTCGCCTGAACTAATGGCAGATGAGAGGAAGCAATGACTGGTGAGTAGATAAGACTGGGCTGACCTTCATGGTTTTAAATAATGGACTTATTTTCTAAGATGAACAGTAGTGATTGAGGCTTGTTAGTTTATTCCTTTTGGGAAGGTTTCCTTTTGTTTTTAAAGATGATTATTGCTTTTGACTCGAGAAATCTGCTCTATAATGCCATATGTAGATAGATTATCACCTGATCAAATGGCTTTTAACCTGAGAAAATGTATTTGCTATATAAAGAAGTAGATAATTTATTATTTGGAAATGGTTTCTGGGTAGGAATGTAACAATTTGCTCCTGTTCCATGAGTAAATAAATGCTCCCTTATTTGCAGTAAATGCTTAGGGTTTAGCAACTTGGAGATTAAATATTGTTTTCACCCACAACTAGGGTCTCTTTCAAGTCATTTCAGAATCCTACTTTGAATCACTTTTGGTGCTATAACAGCATGAAGTTTTCATTTTGCTTGCTTTAAGATTCTTAATATAATGAATGTGCCTTCTTTAGTGACATGCAGAAAAAAAGATGGAAGTCACAATTATTATTTTTCTTTAAAACCATCTAAAATACTTTTATGCTAACTCCCCCCCCCCCCCATGAAAAAGTAGTACAGTGGAGTTCTACAAATTGGGGAAAAAATCCTTCATGTAAATCATATTAGAATAGGCAATCGGAATTTGTAAACCCACATCATAACAGGATATTCTTGATACTATTGTAAGCCAATTATAAAACCATTTAATTTCTTTGATTTTCAATTAAAAAAATTAGTAACTATACATTAATTCTAAGCTTACCGTGAATTATTTTGAAGTATATTTAAAATTAATTTTCAAAATATATTTTATGAAATGAGAATGCATTGTTTATTTGGGTTCATTGCCTTTGGTAAGGGGCTAAAAACCCAGATAAAGACCTAGCGATGAGATCAAAGTCAAGAAAATGTTCCTTCTAATTTTTCTTTCCTAGACCAGGTTGCATCTTGCTGGGAGAACTAAACTCATTTACTTTACTTTCATCAAGGAAGGAAGGACTCAATTAGAACTGGAAATACCTTGTAAGATGTTAGGTTCTGCAGTTATCCCTCTTATTGGTTATGAACAGTCACTAGATTGAATTATTCCTTTCAGATTATCACTCCATTCAGAAGACTAATGCTGTGTGCTGAGAACAGAAAGGAGATGGAGGATTGGATCAGCTCACTGAAGTCTGTACAGACCAGGGAACCTTACGAGGTAGAGTAGCAGCTCCTCTGGCATCTCGTGTGCTTAGAGAACGTTCACTGAAGAGCTAACGTATGTTCTGCAAAAATAAGTACGTGGATATTCGCTCAGCAACTTGTTTAAACCTGATATTGCATTATTTTTACTTAAAGCAAAGTGTTTAATTTTTAAAACAGGGATTTGAAATTTTAATCGTAACTATACACATTCCAATTGTGACGTATCTGTAGTCTTGTTCTCTTGTTCGGCAAATCTGTGTTAACGTCTCATTTCTAGGTGGCCCAGTTTAACGTGGAACATTTCTCAGGGATGCATAACTGGTACGCCTGTTCCCACGCCCGACCCACCTTCTGCAACGTGTGCCGAGAGAGTCTTTCTGGAGTCACCTCCCACGGCCTGTCCTGCGAAGGTACTGTACATCCAGCATGTGTTGTCCCTCAGCGCTGACCATGCACTGACCATACTGCCATTGCGACTTCTGAGGTGTGAACGGAGAAGAGTCACCACGGGAATACTTTTCCCCTGAGCAGTAGCTGGGAGCAGCTCCGCAGGAACAGTGTTTAAGGTTTACGGCGGCTTACAGGAGAGCTCTGCACACATAGGACTGTCTTGGGAAATGTTTGGCTCAGGAAAGGGTAACATAAAATTATTTGAAAGGAAGTATAGATCAAAATGTAGCATTTCACTCCTGAGGAACTAGTAACTACTGATTTAAAACAAATTTTTTAGACTGTGTGTGTCATTCCAGTTTTCCAGTATCCTTTTTCTGTTCTGATTGATTATGGAGAACCAAACTTTCAGTGAGGACAATATAAACTCTTTGGCAGAATTTCTGATTGTTACTTATATTGCATTGTTTTAAATGCTGTTTTGATTTGTTTCATGTATGTTCAATTTAAGTTGATGCCATCTTTCTAATTTCCTTCAAGTTTTCTAAAAATAAGGTCTATGTTGTTTTCATTACAGGATTGGTGGATTATTTTTAAATTTAAGAGCAGTGACCACTTAAAGGAAATACATTAATAATCACCAAGAGAAAACTCATAACTTTTTTAGATTCAATTTTTTATCTCAGTGATCACATCATTATGTACCACTTTTTGAACTATCTATAATACTAACTTTTTTCTCTAATACAAAAAATTATGAAGTGATTTTGATTATAACTTTATTATAATTAAATAATGAAACATAAATAGAATCACCATTTTAAATAATTTTAAGTAAGATCTGCAATAGGTCATTAATTCAGCTATTTAATATGATACAGCAGAGTGGTTGAGAATAGAGCACGGCACTTAGACCCTCTGGGTACCAGTTTCACTTCAACATTTCAAATTGTGACCAGTGGAAAGAAATAGCTGGACTCTTTCAGACTTATATTTCCTCATTTGTAAAATGGGGGTAATAGTCATTTATAGCTCATAAAACATTATGGAAATTCAGTGAGAGAGAATACATGTAATAAAACTACTTTTCCAGTCAAGTAAATTATAGACATTCTAACTGTGCTCCATAAGAAATTTATCAAGTAAAAAAAATACAGATTGCATTGTGGCCTGAAGCATTAAAATTCATAAAAATGAACATTTGGAAGAGGCATTGAACTTTTTTTTTTTTAGATTTAAAGAATGTTTGCAAACAAAAATATAATTGGCTCTTTTGCCTGTAATAATCTGAAAGGATCCCTGTAGCTCTGAACAACTCCTGCCAGGTCTGTGATACTATGTGGCATTACTTTGCAGGGTGTTTTTATTGCCTTCTGGTTTCTTACCCAGAAAATGCTAAAAATGATTTGAGATCTGAGCTACTCTGTGGTACCCTTCTGATTTGGGAGTTAGACATTATTAAATATATTTGTTTAGAAATTGAGATTAGCCCTGGCCGGTTTGGCTCAGCGGTTAGAGCGTTGACCTACGGTACAGAGAGTCCTGGGTTCGGTTCCCGCTAAGGGCACGTACCTCGGTTGCAGTTTGTCCCCGGCCCTGGTTGGTCATGCGGGTGGCAGCCACTCGATGTGTTCCTTTCACATCGATGTTTCTCTCTCTCTCTCTGTTCCTCTCTCTCCCTCCTGCTCTATCTGAACGAAAAATGGAAAAATGTCCTCGGGTGAGGATAAAAAAAAAAAAAAGAAATTGAGATTGACAGTGGTATGACAATATTTTTCTAAGCATTTTTAAAGAAAAATAAAAATTACATCAGCTGGTGAGAAACTTTAATTTTTAAATAAATTTGTTGTTACATTATTTTGTTAATAACAAAGTCTTTTTTAAAAGTATCAATTATTGTATTTTTAAATTATATTTTTAGAGGCATATATGTTAGTATTTATTTTCTCTGCTTATAAAAATTTTAAATCTACAGCATTTTGCCCATTAGTATTTTCAGAACTGTCGCAGAGGTTTTAAAAATCCCAAGTGTTTTATGAACTTATAAAAAAGTTGCCTTTTTATTTTATGAGAAGGTGATTATTTAGGATATTTTTACTGTAATCAAAGTTAAACTTAAGAACCCCCCCCCCACCCCCCAATCTGAATAACTACCTGCTTAGTAAAACTAAAGTCACAGGATACAATAAGCTTTAAAAGTTAGAACAGAGATGCAAATACAAGAAAATGTGTTCAGCAGTGATAATGAATGACATTGTGTTAGGATGGACTCCTGGTTCCGGTGTGCAAAGCTATACTACATTTACCTAATCTTTCTGTTCTCGCTTTTCTCAATAACACAAGGCTGTGCTGGTTTTTCTTCTAGGTTTGTGTTGAATAATAGCTAAAATTATTATTTTAAAGTCTTGCATATATAAAACATGTGAAAAATAGGAGACAAAAGACTTTTGATAAATAATCCCCTAAATCAATTGGGAATGTTAATTATAATTTAAAAACATAATTATTTTATAGGAATTTAACCAAGAAAATTAAGTGGTGATTTTTTAAATCAATAGTATCAAATCTATCAACTTATGATTTTTTATCTTAACCATGGTTGAACACATAAAGGTAAAGTGTAGTAAAGACTGAGTAAATATGTCAATTAAAATCATAATTTTGTTACATATTAGTATATTTTATAAGTCTTGGAGTTTTAAAATAATGCCTTTACAGGTCAGGGAAAAGTTCTTTATTTCAGAATAACTTGTTTGGAGAAATTTAATTGTTACCTAACAAAATTAAGGTGCCTATTAATCATTTCCATTTCTTAGTGACCATAATTACAGTCTGGTTTGTACTATTATTATTATTTGTTAAGCAACTTTGTGATTCTTGATAATCATTTTATGATGCACCTTTTTTTTCAGTTAGAGTTTTCACTCCTTTTTAAAAATGTATCTGTGTTGTTGAAAGTATTACAGATGTGTCCCCTTTTATCCCTCCACTGACCCCCTCCCACACCCCCTACCTTGTGATTTTTATTTTTAATCTGCTGTTTAAGTTTTAATAGCAAAATTATCAAAAGTCATGAAAGTATACCCTGTTGCCCTCTTTTACTTCCTTCTTTGACTCTTAGAAAACATTAATGACCATTAATGTCAAGTACTTGCTTGTACTTAAAAGGCAGGCTGGGATTATGTTGTAGATAAAACTAAAACCAGGACCACACTTTTGAGCAATACCATAACAGATGAAAAGGCCTAGAGATACGAACTTAGTTTTCAAACAGTCACTTGTATTGGAGCAAAATGCTGGAATTAATTTTCAAACTAAGCTTACTTTTTATAGTGTTCTTTTTTTTAAATTTTAAATGTTTTTATTGGTTTTTCATAGAGAGGGGAAGGGAGGGAGAGAGAGAAACATCGATGAGAGAGAAATATCAATTGGCTGCCTCCTGCACACCCCTGCTGGGGGTCGAGCCCACAACTGGGTCATGTGCCCTGACCGGGACTCGAACCAGGACCTCTCTGTCCATGGGATGATGCTCAATCCACTGGCTATAGTGTTCTTTTTCACACTACTGTTTATCAGCAATACAATTCAATTGAATAACTGTTGTATTCTACATGAAGTCTGTGCTGTAGCCACAAAGTAATTTTTCACAAAAATAGTATGATTTCCAGGAAAGATTTTGTCGTACACAAAAGAGCATGTAAATGAAACATGTCCAGTGTCTATAGACTAGGAGAAACCAGCTTAGTGTAAGTGACCATTTATATGTTGGCTATTTATGATACCTAAAGCATTCGAACACTTGACTATAGACATCTTAGTTATTTTATCTGATCTGTTTGTTTTCATGTTACATTAAGTTAGGATTGTTTTTAAAAATGGTATATAACCCATCATTTCTAGTTTATTAATAGCTTATTGTTAGAAATTCAAAATCATGTGAAAAGGAGACACCTTGCATTTAGAATTTAGCAATAGTTACCGTATTATATTTTCACTGAAGTAATCTCTACTTTTAAATATTTATCTGAAAAGTCAGAAACTTATATAACATCAGTATCCCCTAACAGACAGTTTGTGTCCTTAGAAGGATAAATTTAATAGTAGTCATGTACTGATTTTCATAAGCAGATTATTTTTCAAAGAATCTGTGGTTTACTTGTTTTTCATATTTATACTGCTTCTTTCCTGGTTGTTTCTCTCTCTCTCTCTCTCTCTCTCTCTCTCTCTCTCTCTCTCTCTTTATTCAGTATTTGTACATATTGCAAAATGATTACCAGAATAAGTCTAGTTACAGTAACTACATCACCAACATAGTTACAGAAATTGCTTTGCCTGTTGAGAGAACTTTTAAGATTTATTCTCTTAGCAACTTTCATATATGCAATGCAGTATTATTAACTATAGTCACCATGCTGTACATTAGATCGCACGACTTATTTATTTTATAACTGGAAATTTGTACATTTTTACTCCCTTCACCCATATTGCCTATCTCCCACCTTATTGTTTTTTTTTTAGATTCCACATATAAGTGAGATGATATGGTATTTGTCTTTTTCTGTCTGAGTTATTTTACTTAGCTTATTGTCTCATATGGCAAGATTTTATTCTTTTTTATGACTGAATAATATTCCATATATATGTATATCTCACACTTTTTTTTTTTATCTATTCATACATCAGCGGAAACTGAAGTTATTTTCATTATCTTGGATATTGTAAATAATGCAGTGAACATGGAAGTGCAGGCATTTTTTCGAGTTAGTATTTTCATTTTCTTCACATAAATACAAGAAGTGGAATTGCTGTATCATATGGTAGTTCTATTTTTTAAAATTTGAGGAACCTGCCTACTGTTTTTTCATAGTGACTGCACCAATTTACATTCCTGTGAATAGTGCACAAGGGATTTCTTTTCTCCACATCCTTGCTAACACTTGTAATTTTTTGTCTTTTTGCCATTCTAGCAAGTGAGGTGATATTTTATTGTGGTTTTTATTTTGCATTTTCCTGATGATTAGTGATGCTGAGAAACTTTTCATGTACCTCTTGGCCATCTATGTGTCATACCTGGAAAAATGTCACTGAAGAATTCCTCCGCCCATTTTAAAATTGGATTATTTGTAGTTTTGCTATTGTGTTATATGAGTTCTTTATATATATTGTATATTAAACGTTTACCAAATATATTGCATTTACTTTCTCCATTCAGTAGGTTGCCATTTTCGTTTTGTTGATGGTTTCCTTTGCTGTGTAGAAACTTTATGGTTTGATGTAGTCCCTCTTGGAGCTTACACCCTGTACTTTCTTCTGGCAGTTTCGAGTTAATTTTTGTACATGTTTTATTATTTTGCATGTGGCTGTTTAAACACGATTTATTGAAGAGACTGTCTCTTCCGTAGTGTATATTCTTGGCTCCTTTGTCATAAATTATTTGGCCATATATGTGTGGGTTTATTTCTGGGGTCTCTATTCTGTTCCATTGATCTATGTGTCTATTTCTATGCCAATACAATACTGTTTTGACTACTACAGCTCTGTAATAGACAGGATGGGGTAAAAGTAGGTTTACAGATGTGAGTACGTGAAACACAGAGTTTATTCTTGTATTATTATTTATTAATTATTATATTATTTTCCATACGAACAACTAGAAACCTAATTTTGCCCACCTTGTAGTTTGAAATCAGGGAGCGTGATGCCTCCAGCTTTCTCCTTTTTTCCCTCCAGATTGCTCTGGCTGTTCGGGGTCTTTGTGGCTTCATATAAATGTTAGAATTGTTTGTTCTAGTTTTGTGACAAATGCCCTTAGAATTTTCATAGGGATTGCACTGAATCTATAGATTGCTTTGGTATGGGTAGCATGGACATTTTTAACAATATTAAATCTTGCGATCCATGAGCACAGAATATCTTCATTTATTTGTGTTTTCTTCAGTTTCTTCATCCATGTTGTGTAGTATTCAGTGTCGCTTAGTTTTTTTAGAGGCTCCTTTTTAGTAATTTGGCTGGGGGAATTAGCGATGCATGTGGTGGGAACGTCACTCATCATTTCTTTTCTCTACATTATAATGTAGTCATTCCAGCAATACTTTCAAAGACACGCCATCTTTGTGACCCTTATCAGCCTGTTTCCCATGATGCCTGGATAGTTTCTTGACATACTTGCAATTTAAAACTCCTTTGAATTATCTTGTTATTTGTCTTAATGATATTTTCACACTTTTTGTTTTAAGTATCAGAAGTGTACAGCTGGTGGATTTTGCACAAACTGAACACACTTCTGTAATTAACACTCAGAATAAGAAATGGGATGTTACTAGTACCCATGTACTACTGAATTTTTTAGTTCTGTGTATGTGTGTATGGTGTTTCCTTTCTCCTTAAGAGCTAATTCTTTTTATTTATTTCCTCTCTCTTTTTCTTTTATTGCTAAATGGAATCTAAGTAGCAATTCATAGCTTGCTCAAAGTGCTTCATATATACGTGGCCGTATTTGCTTTGTAGAATACTATTACTGTGCTTGAAGAGTCATTTAAACTTTTTAAAATACCAGTTTCCTTCTATCTCCTCACCCCTTTAAAATTTCATGCTGTGATTTCCTTTAATCATTGGCTCAAAAGTACACACTCATTTAGAAGTGGTTTTCTTTGTTTTCTTAGTATGTAAATTCAAGGCTCACAAAAGGTGTGCAGTGAGGGCAACAAATAACTGCAAATGGACGACCCTGGCCTCCGTCGGGAAGGACATCATCGAGGACGAGGACGGAGTAAGCCCTGCTGTGTCTCTGCTCCCTTCCCAGTTCCTCTTCTCTTTTATTTGCTGCCCAGTGGGAAATAACAGAGTTAAGTGGGAGTGTTTACTATTATTATTAAGTGGAAGAATTTGGTTAATTATGAGTGTTTATTTAAAAAAAATTTTTTCCTTTATTGATTTTTTTTATTTAGAGAGAGAGGAAGGGAGAGGGAGACGTAGGAACATCGATTGGCTGCCTCCTGCATGCCTCCCACTGGGGATTTGGCCCACAACCTGGACATGTGCCCTGATCGGGAATCGAACCGGTGGCCTCTTGGTGCTCAACCACTGAGCCACACGGGCTGGGCATGAGTGTTTATTTTCAATTAGAGCCTGCCTTCATCGGTTCCTTCCGCTCTTAAGTTTTGAGGGAAATGTGAAGAGGGCTCAGGAGTGGTGGTTGTGCTGGGCTGGTGGTGTCGACCCTCACCTGACCGATTCAGAGACTGTGTAAGGCTTAGCTCAGCTGTTGACTCGGATCTTGACTCCTCAGACTTTGGGACCACCTCTCAACAGTGCCCCCACCTTCAGAATCTTGCCTCCATTGTACCTCGCATACAAATATCTGCTAGCACTTTGTGACCACTATGATAATGCCTTTTACATGCCTTTCCCTTAACTAGACTATAAATCCTGAAGTCCAGGGATTTGGTCTTAATTATCTTTGTACCTCTGTAGTGCTTGGGGCACAGTACATGCTCAATACATGTGAGGTAGATGAATGTACGCCATGGATGATGCGTGTTACAGTGTTGACTTCACAGAGTGGGAGTTCATTGCGTATCCTCCTGGGGTGAGAATGGTGTCCTCCGCAGTCTTTGACTGTCCTTTATTCCTGCTGCACAGGTCGCGATGCCTCACCAGTGGCTAGAGGGTAACTTGCCTGTGAGTGCCAAATGTGCGGTCTGTGACAAAACGTGTGGCAGTGTGCTTCGTCTGCAAGATTGGAAATGCCTTTGGTGTAAAACCATGGTGAGAGTCCTTTTTAATTCACTTCTTTTCATGACTTTTACGTGTGTGTGATTATAGGCGAAGAATGTCTGGCACAGCAGAGCCTGGTAGCGCACATATACCCACTGTGATGTTCATGTTCTTCAAGGCATATTCATTCCAGGCTGGTTGCTTTTTCAAATATCCTTTTTGTAATACTCATTCTTGTTACATATTTGTTTGCTTTGTCTGAAGACCTCTTTCCCCAGTTTTATTGCTTTTCATTATGCTTTAGTCGTACTCAGTGGTGTGCTATTTTCAGGCCTGTTTTACTATGTGTTGCATACAGAAAGCCACCAAATGTTGCCTGATATACAAAATGTAATTTTGCTACAGTCCTGTGAATGTTCTCTGACATAATGCTGAGGCCATGTGTTGAACTCGGCATTTAATTAAATATTTAAAATTTTTCTTGAACGTGCAAGAACAAGGAAGGAAGCGCAGCCAGCGTGACGTGGAGCCACTGGGAGGGTCCTCCGTGCTGGGCTGCGTGACTGGGCCTGCACACTGCATGTGGCGTCAGCAGGCGCTTGGGACCGGCCATGGGGGGTGGGGGGGCGAAGGGGGCTAAAAGGTGACAGGGCGGTGCCAACCGCGGTGAGTGCTTATCTCAGGACTGGGCGTGCCGTCCAACCATGACAGTGACCGCCTTGCATCGGGGCTGATGTGTTCGTCTTGTTTTGAGTCTTGGAAGTCAGCTCCCCCACACCCCCTGAAATGGTGGAAAAACCGTTGCTTTGAACAAGTATGGGGTAGATCAGCAGATGTTACAGGTGTGAGTGTGACATGTTGATTTCATCATGAAATCAGTTCCATAGGCCACAGAGGAAAATAATTCCTATAATATTTTAGTCAAGCCTAATAGGTAACCTGTTTTATTTTTAAATCAAACATGATTCTCTTTGTCCTCATGTTTTTGTTATTCTTCATCAGTGGCCTCTTTTTAAAAAAATTCTCACCAGAGGATGTGTTCATTATTTTAGTGAGAGAGGAAGGGGGGGCATTGACGTGAGACAGGAACATTGATCAGTTGCCTCCCGTATGTGCCCCAGCCCGGCAGCAAACTTGCAACCTAGGCATGTGCCCTGACCAGGAATCAAACCCACGGCCAATTTGGTGTCCAGGATGATGCTCCAACCAACTGAGCCACCCGGCTGGACCCAGGTGCCTCTTTTGTTAGCCATAGGTGTTACTTTCTATTTCTCTTATCCCACTTAATATAATATAGACTAAATGCAGATTCTCTCTCTCTGTAGTTGTCATTCCACCCCAACCCCGAACCCCTTTTGCCATTCCTTATTTTAAAGGAGTGCTCCCTAAACAAGGTGTACAATTTTCATTTCACCTCAGATCTCTTTCTAGGGGGGGAGGACCTGTAACACGTACACTTGTGGTCTAATTCTCTACTTCAAGAACATCGACTGTTTTTTCCTAACGTTTTAAGAAGAAAGACCACATGTGATGAAGTATCTTTTTAAAAGTATTATGTAAATTGTCTTTACCTGCAGTCTGTAGGTTTCTATTTGTATTGAGTCAGGAGTTTTTAAACTTGACTGACAGTAGGAGCGAATTAGGGTTTCTGTTGGCTCGCTCTGTGCACTCCCACCTTTGAGAGATTTCACGAATTGTATTGTTGCAGATTATTATAGAAGGGGGCATTCTGCAGTGTCTTTTCCCTCTGCTTTTTCCTGGCAAATTTAAACACCACTGTATCGTGAAGTCATTCCTGCCCCGCTCTGTGAGTTAGACCTGCTGGCTTCTGAGTTCGCCGTGGTTGCGCCCCTCAGTCTGCCCTGTCTAAACACTCTCATTATCTGTTTATGTATCACTTTGCCTGTAAAATATGAGTTTATAAAAGCAGAGTATTTAGTGTCTAAACAAAATTGTCTAGTTGAAAACCAAGCCATAGTTCCATAACCCTAATGAGTCAGCTCTTAATTTTTCCACCTGTTGTCCAGTCTCTGGACACAATTTTACATTTCCTGTAAAAATAATCAAGGTAACTTTTCTCATTTAACATTGTTATATTTTTTTCAGTTTTGCTCTATTTTTATATATTTTTTATTCCTTTTAAAACTATGTATGCTTGTTTTTCTAAAATCGACTTGGATTGTTAATTATTTTAAATCATATTGGGAAACTCCAAAATTAGGTCATCAGCAGAACAAGAATTACTATTAAATTTCAGTTATTTTCCCCAAAGTTAGGGTAAATACATGTTGAATTAATATAGTAGTTTTCCAAAAGGATTGATGAAATAATGCCACATTAAGTAAGTGTTTTATGAAGTGTCTGCTTTTACTGGTTAAAACATTTAAAGGCTCTGGAGCGGAGTATATAAAGTATTCTGAGTTGCCTAGGTCCTGCTTAATAAGTTAGCTCTGTGTTTTTTGTTCTTATTAGTATCTTGAGTGACCTTGAAACTTTGTTTCTACATTTATTGAGAGTGTCTGATGTACATCACTTTTCAAGATGAGTGTATAATAATAGGAGCCTTTTCTTTTCCTTGCAAGCCCAGAAGTGTAGCTGAGAAAATAGTCGTGGATATACCTGTAACTATAATAACACGAAAATGTTATAAAATAGGTGTGAATAGAAAGTTATAGGATTAACCTTGGCCTGTGGGGTTCGGTTGGTTGAACATTGTCTTGTCACCGGTTTGATTCCCAATGAAATCAGTTCCATTGGTTTCTCAGGGCACGTGCCCAGGTCGCAGGCTTGGTCCCCATTGGGGGGGGTGGGGGGCGCAGGAGGCAGCTGATCGATGTTTTTCTCTCTCTATCTCTGTTTCCCTTTCTTTGTCTCTAAAATCAATTAAGAAAACATTGTTTTTTAAAAGTTGTAGAATCATTACAGAAAGAGTGGACATATAACAGATTTCATTTACTTTGATTACATTTTATAAGGTAGGATGTCATCAGTTTTTTAAATGGACAATGATACTAATGCAGACTTGTTAGCGTCTCTCTTTCCTTCCATTCCTCTGCATTCCTTTCTCTTCTCTTCCCCTCTCCTTGCCTTCACAGGCACTTACTATATTACCATATACTACTGCCCGAGACAATCATGAAAATAAGCTATGGAGATGAAATCAAATTCCCATCTCTAAAATAATTAGCACCTTCCTTAGAAGCATAAATATTGTGCCATTAGTAATTTATGAATTACTGAACATTTTGTGATGTAATTGATGTTCAAATGATCAGTTTCTTCGATGTAAGTTATAATATAACTGAATATTGATTTGCTTTTATGATTCTCAAAAGTTTGTTTGTTTGTTTTTAGGTACACACTGCCTGCAAAGACGTATACCATTCTGTATGTCCACTTGGCCAATGTAAAGTGTCTATCATACCTCCAATTGCACTAAACAGCACTGATTCTGATGGTATGTAGCCGCAGTGTATGTATGTTCCTGGTATATTGAAAGTTGATATGTACATTTATTTTCCTAGAATAAGTAGAATTGTAACTGGTTATTCTTACCAGTTTTTATATGATAATTCTATTTAAATTGAACATTTTAAAATTTAAAGTTTAACATAGCTATTAACATATTGGTGAAATTTCTGCGTTTAAGGCTTTTAGATTTTATATTTTAGTAAATAAAATAAGATCATTATTCTGTACCCAAATATAATCTGACAAGGTTAATTTCCATTCATTGAAACTGCCCATTAGCATATCTCTTATTTAGAATTTTTTTTTTTTTTTTATAATTTCATTGCAGGAACTTATTATTTATAAGTTTATTTACCTTTTCCAGAATCTTACAACTTTGTAAGTGCTGAGGAGCCTGTTTGCAGTGCTGGTTTTGGAATAGCATATGAATAACTTTCTGCTAAGCAGACCATCTTGTGAAAGGCTTTTACCACATACCATTAATATTTTGCATTGATAAAGTTCATTATGATTTCCAAACTTTTTATATAAATTATGCCAATAGATCTTATAGATATAAGGGTATAAGCATCAAAAGATGTGATTAAAAATAAACAAACAAAAAAAACCCTGTGCTATTAAAGCCTTCCCTCCTCAAACCCTGATATATCAAGGTTCTGTTGTTTATTATAAATGTTGAAGTATTTGCTCAGGCCTCATCAAGTAGCAGTTAAAATATTTTATAATACTGAATACAAATACCTAGGCTGTGATTTGATATGTATATATAAAATGTTTTTAAAATTTATCTTTATGATTGAAAGTATTATAGATGTCCTCCCTTCATTCCCCCATTGACACCCTCCTCCCCACTCCCACCCCCACCTCCACCTTCACCACACCATTGTCTGTGTCCATTGGTTATGCATATAAGTTCTTTAGTTTATCTCTTCCCACCACCCCCTTCCCTTTGAGGTTTATCATTCTGTTCCCCGCTTCCATGTCTCTGGATCTATTTTGTTTCTCAAATTATTGTGTAGATGTACCACAGTTTTTTATCTACTCATCTACTGATGAACACTTGAGCAGTTTCCAGATCTTAGCTATTGTAAATAGCACTGCCATGAACATAAGGGTGCATATATTCTTTCTGATTGGTGTTTCAGGATTCTTAGGCTATATTTCCTAGCAGTGGGATCACTGTATCAAATGGCAGTTCCATTGTTTTATTTTTATTTTTATTATTATTGTTAAGGCAGGTCATATGTCTCAAATTATCTCTGATTAATACTTTCAACCATCTCTGTTATGATTATTCATTATAGAGCATATTTTGAAAGATAACTTCTATATTCTTAGTATGTAAATAATAAACTTATCTCCATTTTGGTGGCTAATTTATAACTTGTTGTTAAACTAATGATCCTGGTTCTTTACTTTTATGAATTTCTATTTTCTCTGAATTTTTGTTAACAGTTTAAGATAGGAAACTGTACATATTGATCTTGTCCTGTGTTTTTTTACAGGTTTCTGTAGAGCAACATTTTCATTTTGTGTTAGTCCTCTTCTGGTTTTTGTCAACTCTAAGAGTGGAGATAATCAGGGAGTAAAGTTCCTTCGACGGTTTAAGCAGTTACTAAATCCGGCTCAGGTGTTTGATTTAATGAATGGAGGTCCTTATTTAGGGTAATTGATTATTGATGTCTCTTTTAAATGAAATGTAGTACTGAGCATGAAATATGTCTCACTTTTCAGTTCATGAAAATTGTAGATTCATCTAGACATCTGTGTTGATCTTCCCACTCCTCCCTTTTTTAAAAGTTAAATTTAATTATAAATTTAACACAACCTTTTTGATATTTATATAACCTCTTTATGTGCTAAAAATTCCAAAATTTGTTTAGAACATGTTTTAGACTATATCTTACATCAAACAAGCCATTCACATTGTGCTTAGCTCTAAGAAAGATAAACGTGTAAATATAGCAATGCAATGTTAAATAATGATTTTCATGGAAGGCTAGTATTAATTTATATGTAGTACAGTCAATTATTGTATTACATATAAATTAAAGCACAGACACTCTCGTGGGTCCCTAGGTCATTTCCTCAAGGATTTCAGATTCACTTCATGCAAATAGCAAAGAAATACTTTTCTTGATTGTATCTGCTTTCTGAAATGTCATTTAATATAAAATCTGAAAAAAGGAAATCATATTTTCAAATAAATAATCTGCCCTGAGGTGCTCCCAGGACATTTTTAGTGTGTGTAGGACTTCTGTTGAGTTGGCGTTGTGTCGGCGTTGTGTCATGGGAACCAGCGCCCAGCAGTCTCTATGTGATTCACTTACGCCCAGTCCGCTTCTCTCTGGAGCTCCACCATCACCTTAACACACGAACAGGAAAGTTTTCAGACTGTCCTGGCTTCTGAATTTCTCTCCTCAGTCTCCTTTTGTGCCTCTTTTCATGTGTGTCCCTTCAGAGTCTTCCTTCTTATTTCCATTGCCTTTTTCTTGCTAAGTTCAGGCGCTTCTGATCACGTGGTATTGGTCTTTTTTATGTTACCCATGTCCTTTCTTACCACTTGGACATCCCTTGCTTCCCTTGTGTGGGTCCTGGCATTTCCTCCTCTGGCCGCTCTTCTCCCCTTGGTCTCCCCCTGCTGGTTAGCTTTGTCTCCTTTTCTAGTACGTTGTTTCGTAGTCCTCCGACTCCCATATATTCTTGACATTCATTTTTCCCACTCAGGGAACTCCCTTTCTTTAAAACTTCTTGAGATTGTCTCTATAACATACTTTTTGGAGTTCCCCTGTACTTGAGGTATACAGGGGTACCTTCAGGAGGTGGGGTGTGTCGGAAGTTGACAGGAAAGAAGATAAGTAAAAAGACACAGCTGAGACAGGAGACGAGGAGGAGAGCAAGCAGACAGGGAGTACAGAAGTGACCCACGGACAAGGATTGGGCTCTCTCACCAGCAACAGTGCCCTAGATTCCCACCCCTGGCTTGTAATCTGCTACGTTTAAGGAAATAACATAGCCCTGTAATGGGAAGAGAAAAATCGCTACTTTTACCACCTCGTATCACTTACCTGTCATTCACTTTCCTGGGTTCTGCTTCTCCCGTGTTTTCTCATTTCTTCCTTCCCCTTCTTTCTAATTTTACCTCCATTTCTACTTATAAACCCCTTCCTCTTTATGGTTAAGAGGTTTTCTTGAGTTAACATTGTACCTAAATGAACTTGATAATATAATTAATATGTAAGAGTCCTTATATTTAATTTGAACATGAATACTAATAAATGCAGAATGACAAAGAATTTCATTTATTTATATTAAAACAAAACACTTTTTTTTACTTTCAGTTTAAGATTGTTCCAGAAGTTTGACAATTTCCGGATTCTTGTTTGCGGAGGAGATGGAAGTGTAGGTTGGGTTTTGTCAGAAATTGATAAGCTCAACTTGAATAAACAGGCAAGTCCTCATCCCTTTCATTGCTGGCTGTCGTGAACGGATGCTGGCTGGCTGACGAGGGCTGTAGGGCCCGTTGCTCACCTCCTCTGAGGTCGCCTTGTTTGCTCTCTTCTAGTGTCAGCTGGGAGTGTTGCCTCTGGGGACTGGAAATGACCTTGCCCGGGTTCTTGGCTGGGGAGGTTCATACGATGATGACACCCAACTTCCCCAGATACTAGAGAAGCTGGAACGAGCCAGTACCAAAATGCTGGACAGGTAAAAGTGACTTCTCCTCTAAACCTAGTTTGAAAAGGGCATCCCGAAATCGTTTTCTGACAGCTAAAATTGTTCTGGCTATAAGCCCCTGGAGGACAGAGGCTGTCTACTCTTACCCCTGAGGTCTAGAACAGTGCCCAGCAGGGAGTGAGTTATAGCAAAAACTGAGAAAACTAGTCTAATGAACCCATTATTTTATTTATTTATTTAAAAAAAATTTTTTTTTTTTATCCTCACCCAAAGACATTTTTCCATTTTTGTTCAGATAGAGAGGGAGGGAAGGGGAGAGAGAGAGAGAGAAACATCGACGTGAAAAGGACACATCGAGTGGCTGCCTCCTGCACAACCCCAATCAGGGCCGGGGACAAACTGCAACTGAGGTATGTGTCCCTCGCGGGAACCGAACCCGGGTCTCTCTGGACTGTAGGCTGACACTCTAACTGCTGGTCCAGCCAAGGCTGAACCAATTATTTTAAAGATAGAGGGCTATATTGATAGGAATTCCTTTTCATTGCTGTTCAGGTCAGAAGAAAGCTTTAACTAGTTAATTTGGGGAAGGGGAGTTTTTGTTCAGTATCTTGTGGTTTCATTAAAGCGGAAAGAGACCTATAAACTTTAGATTTGTTAGAACATCTCTTCTTAATTATACCAATGAATTAAACCAACAAAGAACTAAATATTAAAAAATAGAATCCTTTCCCAGAGACAGGGAGGTATAAGGAGGACAGCTGTCTGAAGGCACTGTCACTGCGTCTCTAGTCCCCTTGAGCACGTCTCTGCCCTGTGTTCTCTCTCCACGCTCCGCCTGTGGGCAAGCAGTTGCAGTGCGTGTGCCCTGAGCATCGTGGAGGAGGTGTTTAGAATTTGGGCATAGGGAGCTAAAGGACTCAATAAGTGGTAACCTCCCCATCTCCACCTTACCACCCCCATAAGTAGAAGACAAATGTCACATATCGTTATAAACTTCAGTTAGCATGAATTAAAGCAACTCTGATAGGATTAGCCATCTGTGGAACTCTTCCCGAAAATAACAAAATCACATCAGGGAGCCACCAATCTAAAATGTAATTACTCTCAAATGAGCTATAACCTAATTAATTGTAACCTTGCCTGTCATAAGGTAATGTTGAAATGGTTGATTCTTTTGCCAACAGAATATTTAAAAAGAGAGCTTAGGCTGTGAAACATTTATCTGTGTTTATCCCAAATACTCTTTTTAAAAAATGTTTTACATTAAATTTGTGGTTGACCTTTCAGTATTATATTAGTTTCAAGTGTACCGCATAGTGGTTAGACATTTATATAACTTAAGAAGTGAGAGGATTACCCTTGCTTGTCGTTTGGGTGCATAAAGTAGATTCAGCCTTCAGTCTTCAACCTGGAGGTGATTTCTCAGACAGCTGCCCAATCCTGTGCTCACCAAACCACACAGGGTATTTTAAAGGGCTTTTTGTTGCAAATTTAAATACCGCACTCTCAGTTTATCCCGGGAAATGCTGCTAGGCATTTCCTCTACCCTGTGTGCTTTCTTCTTGGTGTTAGAAATAGTAACTTCTCCAGGTGGTTAGCAGAGAAATAGTGCCTCCATGGTGAAATTCCTTGATGCAGACCTGCAAAAAAATAAGAAAAAATAAATAAATAAAAGTGGGTTAAAAAAACCTATTAGATTTTTTTTTAACCTAAAAAAAGGCCATTGTTAGAAACATAAGACTCTTTTGTTTCTAGCTTTTAAAAAAATATATTTTGTAACTGATTTGATTTTTTTTTAAGTTTATTGAGGTGACGTTGGTTAATAAGATTGTATATGTTTCAAATGTACATTTCTATGATACATGATCTGTATATTGCATTGTGTGCCCACCACCTGAAGTCAGATCATCTTCCGTCACCGTAAGGGTAAAGGGGGTCAAATATATGGGGACAGAAGATGTTCCTGGCTTTTCATTACTAACTTAAGAATGAAAAGACCAGCCCTGGCCGGTTTGGCTCAGTGGTTATAGCGTCGGCCCGAGGACCAATGAGTTGCGGGTTCAATTCTGGTCAAGGGCACGTACCTCGGTTGCAGTTTGTGCCCAGTCCTATTCTGGTCGTGAGGGAGGCAACCAGTCGATGTAACTCTGTCATGTCAGTGTTTCTCTCTGTCTCTCCTTCCCTCTCTCCCTCCTACTCTATCTGAATGTAAGTAGAAAAGTATCCTTGGGTGAGGAATAAAAAAGTACGAAAAGTATCGCTGTTTAATAATATTCCAAATTATGTAAACTTTTTTATGTGTATCAGTTGACTTGATCCTCTAAATAACACTGTGGAATGGCTAATAAAAGCATTATTATAACCTTCTTGCAAAAATGAAAACTGAGGTGTGTGGAGACACTAAGAGTAAGAAAGACACGTATTTCTGTCTGCCTGCCACTTCTAGTTGCTTTACTAGACAGAGTATCGTCTCATTAATCATGGCTGTACACCTCAGGATAGCTACTGTTATACTGTCCATCTTACAGGTAAACAAAACTCAGGAGGTGTTTGATCATTGTCACATAACTAAGTGGTACAACTGGCATTCTAAACCAAAATCCAGACCCAGCTCCCCAGTCTGTCCTCAGCATGCACTCTGTCCTCCCTGACGCACGCGTGAACCAGAGGGGTCCTGCCTGCTGGCCTCTGACTGCTTGGCTGGCACCAGCACCCTTTCCTGATTCCTGCCGCCACTGTCTCCTGTTTCTTCGGCCCGTCATTTCCTGTCGAGGGAGGAGGTGCAGCATGGAAGGTCCAAGGAATTTAAGACATTTGGGTGAATTTATTTCCCCTTTCTTTAACTGTCCTTTGACCAGAGAAGTATTTCCAGCTATGAGGAACTTGACTTTCATGTTTCCATGAAAGCTGTGGTTCTCTCTATTTGGATGTTTACACAGTTTAATTATTTTATGGGTTGCTTGTGTTATATTTGCTTTCTGCACTAGAATATAAGCTTCATTAGGGAAGTGTTACTCACTGTTTTATTTCCAGATCCTGAATACTGTCTGTCATTTTGAAATGTTGAGTATCTCTTGCATGGATGGACGGATAGATGGATGAATGGATAGATGGATGAATGGATAGATGGATGAACGAATTAACGAATGAATGAATGGCTTTTTGTGCTCAAATATGTTTCTTTACAGTATATTCATATCAAGAGTTGAATAGTACCTATAAGTAACTATTCAGTTTATACATCTTAACATATAACACATGTCTTTTAGGATATTTTCTGGGAATTTGGATTTTTTATGCAAAGACTTATTAGTTTGGATGATGCACTAGGCTCTGTGTATTTATTTATTTATTTATTTTTTAATCCTCATCTGAGGACATTTTTCCATTTTTTGTTCAGATAGAGTGGGAAGGAGAAAGAGAGAGAGAGAGAGAGAGAGAGAGAGAGAGAGAGAGAGAAACATCGACATGAAAGGGACACATCGAGTGGCTGCCTCCTGTACGACCCAACCAGGGCCGGGGACAAACTGCAACTGAGGTACGTGCCCTTAGCGGGAACTGAACCCGGGTCTCTCTGGACCACAGGCCGACACTCTGTTGAGCCAAACCAGCCAGGGCTAGGCTCTGTTTAAATACTGATGCTATTCCTGGAATTTTCCTGTAGGTTCTGTCACTGACTTCAGCTGTGAATTGCTTTTCTTAAAATTTATGTATTACAGTACTGCTTTTATTACACTTTGTGTCTTTCTAAAATCTTTATTTTACATCTTGTTATTGATAATATACCTAATCGTTCTTTCCAAATTTTGAAATTATTATTTTAGATACATGACTTGATTTATCTGGAGTTGATCTTTAACACCAAATGATTCAGTGTTTGATTTGAAATGAATATTTACAACTAACTAAAATAAATTTACTTTGATTATTTCTATTAATATTTTTAAGAAGGGCCCTGGCCGGTTTGGCTCAGCGGTTAGAGCGTTGGCCTGCGGTCCTGAGAGACCCGGGTTCGGTTCCCGCTAAGGGCACGTGCCTCGGTTGCAGTTTGTCCCCGGCCCTGGTTGGTCATGCGGGTGGCAGCCACTCGATGTGTCCCTTTCACATCGATGTTTCTCTCTCTCTCTGTTCCTCTCCCCGCCCCCCACTCTACCTGAACAAAAAATGGAAAAATGTCCTCGGGTGAGGAAAAAATAAATAAATAAATAAATAAATAAATAAATAAATAAATAAATAAAAGAAGGGATAAGAGCTGATTTTCATTTCATGTATGTATAAGCTGACTTGGCATGACTGATTATGACATGGAGAATGGTTTATTTTTTATAGGTAGTATGCATTTATTTATTATAGACATTGTTGTAGAACTCTGGGTTGTGATTCTTTAGTAACTTGCATAATCTAGTTAGTAAATTACAGCCAGCATCAATTTAAAAGTGAAACAGACAACAATAGAAGAGTCAAAGCATTACATCTGGGGAAGAAGGGAAAGTGTTAGATATGCACATTTCTTCCTTTGGGTGATGGTCTTAACAAGTTTGGAAGTTACGCCCTGGCCGGTTTGGCTCAGCAGTTAGAGCATTGGCCTGTGGTCTGGAGAGACCCAGGTTCAGTTCCTGCTAAGGGCACATACCTCGGTTGCAGTTTGTCCCTGGCCCTGGTTGGGTCGTGTGGTGGCAACCATTCGATGTGTCCCTTTCGCGTCGATGTTTCTCTCTCTGTCTCTTCCTCTCTCTCCCTCCCACTTTATCTGAACAAAAAATGAAAAAAATGTCCTCGGGTGAGGATAAAAAAAAAAAAAAGTTTGGAAGTTACTAATACACAGAAAATTGATAAGATATGGAAATCATGATTTATGAATTGAGCATTTTATGAAATTACCAAAATTTCATTTCTTTTCCCATATTTGCTTGTTTTACTTTTTAAATTTTTCAGGTACAGTTTACATTCAATTGTATTTAGTTATTTTAGATACAATAAACTGTAGTCCATAAATACATGTGCATGTTTTTGTTTATGAGGTTAAGAACACAGTTTATTAAATTTTAAAGGAACTTTAGACCAAAGATTTTTCTCCCTGCAGGTGGAGTATAATGACCTATGAACTCAAATTGCCACCAAAGGCTTCTCTACTTCCAGAACCTCCAGGGGCACCTGAAGACATTTATGTAAGACTTGAACCCTTTACCTACTTATTATTTGAAAATGAGGGTGAATATCTTAAACAAATAAGAAAGCTTATGAGATACGGTAGCATGTTTACTTTATTTTATGTTTCATTGTTTTGGGCATGGCCTCATTGACTGCTTACAGCCCTCTCGCTAGAGGAAGATACCCTGCCGATCTAGATGGAGTCCTTCTGTGAACACCCACACCGGGAGTGTGGATTCAGCCACATCACTTACCTTCACCTGCTCTGACTTCTCTTTAGCGTGAGACTACCATGTTGTGAGGATTAAATGAGGTGATGAGTGTGTGTGTGCAAATTCCCCTTCAATCACTTCTCCCTGAACATTCCACCTGCCTGCTTCCTCTTACCAGCAGGGTCCCAGGAAAGGCCGCTGATGACCAGTTTCTCTTAGTGCTTACTCTTCTCCTTCAGCCATGAGCAGAAGATTATACCCCGGCTCCCTTAAACAATCTCCAAACACGCCTGTACTCATGGCTAAATACCATATAATTTCTCTCTTCCTGCTGTGCCTGCTTTGGTGAGGGTGCATCAGAACAGGTCTACAGGTTAAGCCTGTTGATCAAGATAAAACGAAGAAAAAAACATGCACTTTATTCCATCCCTGCCATAGATCATTAATAACAACGGATTTTAGACGTTCTTCACGATTCCGCATTCTGATTAAACCTCAAAGCACTAGAGATTTAAAACAGAACCAAATTTTCAAAGGATTATTCTCTGACTCACCAAGACCACTTGCTCTATAATAGCTTATTATTCCCTCGAGGAAAATTTATCTGCTTATTTTACAGTTGAAATCTTTGTTTTGTCATTAAGAAAATTATGATCTTGTCAAAACTAAGGAAAGAACCAGAAACATAGGACTCTTCCTTAAAGAAGGTGATTGGATTTTGAAATTTTTTTGATATAAAGGTAGCAAAAATTGCTTCTAAAAATCTTGATAATATGAAAATATATTCAAAAGATAATAAAAAACGAATAGTCCTGCCACCCAGAGATAATTACTATTACAGATTAATATTTACTATTTTATTTCTAGCAGCATTTTTATTTACAATGTTTTTTATCCAACTGAAAACATAATACATGTTCTATAGGAACCAGTCTCTTTTCTTAATAGTATTTTTGTAAATGTTATTTTTTCACCAAAGAGACAAAGTGGGGAACTTTTTTGCTCTGCTTACTTCAGAGATGTCTATTTCCTTAGCATTAAAAATAAGATAGTTTGGGAAGGAGGGGGTCAATGGGGAAAGAGGGGACATCTGTAATACTTTCAACAATAAAAAAAGTGGAAGAAGAAAAGAGATAGTTTACTTTTGTCGCATATTATGGTCACTAAATATGAGGTACAATTGTAGCTGCATGGAAGAAACCTCTTTTAAAACAAAATTAGAAGGGTTTTGAATGGACTTTTGTTTGCTTTGGTTTTGGATGAAAACATCTCACAGCAAGGCAGCAGAATGCCTGAAGATTACAAGTCAAGTTCGGCGTCACTCTGACTTTTTTGCCTTGAAAACTGCAATAAAAGTAAGCTGAACCTTTCTTTGTAGGCTTGACCTAGTTTTTCAGCTTAAATTTTTTAAAAAAGAAAACATTCATTTTGGATTTTTTTTTTATGCATGATTGTGAACTTGTTTTAATTTTCCTAAAGGACGCAAAAGGTGGTTGAGCTTCCCAATTATCTTACAGCATTCTGCTGGCCTCGTAGAATCACAGAGCTAAAGGGCTTGTGACAGTTCCATTGATTAATTCCTTATGGCCACAACTAAGTAATTCTGTTTGCTGTTAAACAGTATAAAAATAGTGGTTTCATGATTTCCTTCAGTAATAGTGATTCTGTTATTTAATACTCACTGTTAGAAAATTTACTGTTTACACTTAACGTACAATCCCCATACCCACCATCTATTTCCTCTAACTCTGCAAACAAATTTGTATCTCTCCATTAGCATCAACTTATTAGTTCACTCCTGTTACCACGGTGGGTCTCAGCTTAGGTGTCACTTGCTCCAAGCAGCCACCCCTCTCTCTCAAGTCCTGGCACCGTTATTCCTCAGGAGTTCCATAGCCCTTCCCCTTGCGTTACCTTGGATTATCGCACTGTAAAGATCAGGCAGTGTGTGTTATTATTCACTCACCATTATATTGTCATCTGGCACTATGACTAGCAGATTAACAAATTCTTCTTGTTAAATTTTGATCTAAAGACCAAACCCTTTTGGAACAACGGGCATCTTGGCATCCAAGCCCTCTGTCCTTGCCTGTTTCTTAGGAGCCAGGTCCCTACTGCTTTCCAGTTTGATTAAGAGCTTATTGATGCAGGAATCCTGGTTTTGGTCTCTTCTGCCTTGTGTCCCAATCACTTAAGTCTACTAAGTCACCAGACGCCTGTTCGCTGATGCCGAGGTAACCAGGGAAAGGGAGCAGTGCCCTGCCTCCGTCCCCTCCCTGAGAACGGGGAAGAGTGGCCTGCAATCTCTGGAAACAAATTCCTTCCTAGTAGCTTCTTTTCAAATGTACTCTGATAGAATACTAAGGGATCTCTCCCCTCAATTCTGTGGGTTTTCTAGATACTTGGTAATAGCACGCTAAGAATGTAACTTTATACTCCTTCTCATCCATTTAGTGTCTGTTGGCACCCACACCTGGAAATAAAAACTGACCCTCTAGCTTCAGCCGAAAGTAGTGGTTCCCATGCTGTGTGCCAGGGCACCTCAGGGCACCGTGGTGACCTCAGAGGGCTACCGTGAGGTATTTTTAAGTTAGAAGAAAACTCAACATCTGTTGGACGTTGTGCAAACTGATAGCTGGAGGTAGTGCACAGTGTATAGGCTGCACTGCAGTCCTTTGGATGACGTCATGTTTTGTGAAGCTGGTTTCCATTAGTTGCTGGGGTACGAAGCGAACACCACACAAAGCTCTTTGTGTGGTAGCAAGTGAGGGTGTCACTGTCCAGTCTGAGTCCAGGGAGTCACGTGTATATGAAGCCAAGAGGCTTACAACTAGCGATTTAAGAATGAAATACGATTTTTTTTCTTTTAAAGTACATTATTTTTTCATATGGTTATTAAGTTGTTAGAACATAAATATTCATTAAGTTGTTTAGCGTTTACTAATGTTAGGTACTTGTTTTGGCCTCAGGGCATTATGGCAAAATTGTTAAGACGTTAAGGATGCCTTGAAGTCAGGAATTTTGGAAATCTCTGTTCTAGTGGGAGGGACAGACAAGGAAATGATTAGTAATGTGTAGGTTATTTCCAGGGAGTAATGGTTGCACAGAAGAGAGGGTTCTTGGCCTGGCAAGTTCAGTGAAGTCTTTACAGAGGTAGTTAGGCCTCAACTTGGTTTTAGGACAAAAGAAGAGACGTAGGGATCAGCCAGTTGAAAAAGAGCATCACAGCCCTGGCCGGTTTGGCTCAGCGGTAAGAGCGTCGGCCTGCGGTCCAGAGAGACCGGGTTCAGTTCCCGCTAAGGGCATGTACCTCGGTTGCAGTTTGTCCCTGGCCCTGGTTGGTCATGCGGGTGGTAGCCACTCGATGTGTCCCTTTCACATCGACGTTTTTCTCTCTCCCTCCCACTCTACAAAAAATGGAAAAATGTCCTCAGGTGAGGATAAAAAAGAAAGAAAAAGAGCATTACATGAGCATCGTTTCATGCATCGAGGTTGCCAGTACCATTCCCAATCGGCACATGCCTACGTTGCCGGCTTGATCCCCAGTAGGGGCGAACAGGAGGCAGCCTCTCAATGTTTCTCTCTCTCTCTCCATCTCCCCCTCCTCTCTCTAAAATCATTAAAAATGTTTTTTTAAAAAAGCATTACATAGAGCATGATAATAAGTATGATGGTAAATGTGGGGAATTACATCTGTAGAGTTAGAATATGCAGTGTAAGGAAAGAGCATCAAAAGACAGGACAGCCAGTTGGTGTGGCTTGGTAAATTGAGTGTCATCCCATGGACTGACTGAGAGGTCCTGGTTTGATTCCCAGTCAGGACACGTACCGGGGTTGTGGGGTTGATCCCCAGGAGGGGGCATGCAGGAGTCAGCTGATCGATGTTTCTCTCTTTCCCTTCTCGCTCTAAAAAAATCAATAAAAACATATATTTTTAAAAAAGACAGGACAGAAAAGGAAAGGAGGGTCAGATTATGCAGGGTCTTGGGAATTATGACAGGTCTTCCTTGTTAGCTGAAGGGTTTTGACATTATCCGGCAAGTGGGAGGGATCCACTCAGACATGGTTAAGCAGGGTGGTATGATCAGATTTGTGGGTTTTCTTTTTTTTTTTTCCCCTTTAATCTTTATCCGAGGACATGATTTTATTGATTTGAGAGAGAGAAAAACATCAGTGTGAAACATCTGTTGGTTACCTCCCACACCCGCCTAGAATGGGGATCCAACGGCAACCTGGGTATGTTCCCTAACTGGGAATTGAACGTGAGAGTTGTCAGTGTATGGATGATGCTCCAACCAACTGAGCACACTGGCCAGGGCCACATTTGTGTTTTTTTAAACACTGTGTTGTAAAGTAGAGAATGGTTTACAAAGGAGCAGGAGAGAGGCAGGAATTCCAACAAGGAGGCTGTTATAATACACGTGAGAAACAATAAAATTTGTATTTAACAAATATTATTGAGCAAAGACCAGGACTTGCTGGGGTGCTGGGGTGGGGTGGGGAGGACAGTGTGGTGGAAAAACCCCAACTTCCTCAGGCCTGACCCCTAGCTCGTCTGCCCCTCATCAGCTGTGGGTCTTGGGCAAACCACTCAGTTCACCTGAGCCTCACATGCCTTGACGGTGAAACAGGACACCTAATGGGACAGATACATGCAAAGTGCTTCACAGTGCCTGGTGCACAATAAAAGTGTTAAGTATTATTATTATCTTACCTTTGTGATTCTGCTAAATTACTACGTAATAGGTTAATAAGTGATATCAATAATTTTATCCTTGAACATAGAGGGTTTATTTCATTTTTCCCTAGAAGAGATTGTATTTCTTTGCCTTTGTTTATAGTTAATGGACAGAAACTTGGGTTTTTAAATGTTAAGTCAAATGGAATCAATGGTAGTTTTTAATACCTCTTTCTACCTTCTTAGGCTTAATGACAATCTACCCTGTAGGGAAAAGAAATAAAACTAATATTTTTGACAAAATATTTTCTTCCTTCACTTTTTAGTAGATGTTCTTTCATTTTCCTGATCGTAACTGTAAAGATGCATTTGTAAATGTTTAGACCAGGAGCTCAATAAAGTGGATTTGTAAGTCAATAAAATACTGTGTCAAACTTTTCCTCAACTTTCTTTCATGTATTTTTTTTTTTTTTCTATATATGGTCTGCCTTTGAAAAAAGTAAGATAGAAATTTAAATGTCACAACATACTGATTAGCCACTGGTGGAACTGGATGTTAATCATGAATTGATGAGGTCCCTTTGGGAAGAGGCTAGCCAGGAAGGCTTGATGGGGGGAGTGGGTAATTGAATCTTCCTTTAAGTCTGAATAATCTGAAGCTGAGGGTTAAGAGGCAGCGAAGGGATATCTGAGTCAGGCAGCAGGGCATAGGAGGCGGCCTGAACAGAACGGATGGTTCATAATGGAATGTTTTGAGCCATGTGACATAGACTATATTTGAAGCAAAAATCTGATGGAAGGCTCTTAATATGAAACTGAATATTGTGCACATTTTCATATATTAGAAAAGTGTGTTCTTTCAATAGAATGTTCAAATTTGAGTCAAATAGAAACAGACATAGGAATCCTTTAGCATTTGATTATTTCATTATTTGAGAGAAATAATTATTTACATGCTTGTATGACAGTGCATCAGCATTTTTTATTTATTTATTTATTTATTTATTTATTTAATCCTCACCCAAGGCCATTTTTCCATTTATTTTATTCAGATAGAGTGGGAGGGAGAGAGAGGAAGAGAGAGAGAGAGAGAGAAACATCGACGTGAAAGGGACACGTTGAGTGGTTGCCACCCGCATGACCCAACCAGAGCCGGGGACAAACTGCAACCAAGGTTCGTGCCCTTAGCGGGAACTGTGGGTCTCTCAGGACCACAGGCCGACACTCTAACCACTGAGCCAAACTGGCCAGGGCTGCGTCAGCATTTTTTTAAAAACTGTATTGGATTATGCATACAGAAAAGTGCACATATCGTAAATGTACATGTTGGTAAGTTTCCACAAGCTAAGTGAACCCACGTAATCAATGCCCAGATCACACGGCAATGTTAACAGCACCACCAGAGGCCCCTTATGCCCCCTTTATTCACCACCCCATCTCCCACCCCAAGACAAGTCTCCTTACTTCTGACAGCATAGATTAGTTTTGTCTGTTTTTGTACTTTATGAAGTAGAATCATTTGTATGTGCTCTTTTTAAAATATTTTTTCTTTATTGATTTTAGAGAGAGAGGAAGGGAGAGGGAGAGAGAGATAGAAAAACATCGATTTGAGAGAACATTGATTGGCCGCCTCCTGCGTGCCCCCCACTGGGGATCTGGCCCACAACCTGGGTATGTGTCCTGACCAGGAATCGAACCAGCGACTTCTTGGTGCATGGGTCGACACTCAACCGCTGAGCCACACCAACCGGGCTGTATGTGCTCTTTTGTTTCTTTCATGCAACATTTGGTCTGTGAGATTCACCTATATTGCGGCTCAGTTGTAAATCATGTATTCTAATTGCCCTATAGTTTTCCATTGCACAAATATACTACAGTTTGTTACCCATTCTACCATGGAGTGAATGCTGTTGTGAACATTGTAGTACATGTTTTTTGCTGAACATACACCTTCATTTCTTTTGGGCATATACCTGGATGATGAATTGCTGGGTCCTACAGTATTATGCATATGTTCAACGTGAACAGATACTACCCAACAGTTTTGTAGAGTGTGTGCATCAGTTTGCTCTCCCACCAGCAGTGTATGAGAGTTCTATTGCTCTTGCCAATACTTGACATTTCCTGGTGGTGGTGGTTTTCATTTTAGCTATTCTGACAGATATATAGTGGTATCACATTGCAGCTTTATTTTACGTTTGCCTGATGGCTTATAAGGTTGAACACCTTTTCATCTATTTATGGACCATTTGGATATCTTCCTTGTTAAATTTTTAGTCTTTGGCCCTTGCTTATTAGATTGTCTGGCATTTTTGAAGACTTTATATTTTCAGCCTTTTGACATTTAGAAATTTGTTAAGGGTTCTTATGGATTTTTCTAAGAGTATATACATTAAATTCCATAAACTAAAAGCCTTTCACAGAAAGGATATATTGATATATTTTATATAATGACTATTACATATTCATTGTAGCCATTGCCTTGTGTCACAGATGGTCCCATCTTTGAAGCAGTAATAACAGAGTTGTCTAATTGCTAGCAACAGTAACAAAAAAGGCAGTTGTTTTGTTTTGTTTCAGATGACAATCTACGAAGACTCAGTTGCTGCTCATCTTTCAAAAATCCTTAATTCTGATGAACATGCAGTGGTCATATCATCTGCCAAGTGAGTTACAGAGTGAAGTCATGAAATAGTTATCTGGTGGGAATGAAAGGAAAGCTGGTTCCTACCATTTACTTGATTTCCTTGTGACTTATTTTCCCAAAAATATCTTTGTAGTAGCTTATAGAATTAGATAAACTAAATTTCCATTTAAAAAAAAATCAGTGTAGCATCTTATTTGCAGTGGAGAATATTTAGAGGGTATTTTTTAATGCTTAATTTGAAAGATTTTTTTGTGTGTGAAAATGGCGAAATTTGTGTTTAGAGTTTACACAAAGTTCCTGTTCAAAGAAGTATTTATGATTGTTATAGAAAACACAGATCATTATAATTTATTATTTCCATAAACACTGCTATTTAGGAACTGTTTATATTGGGAAAGGAAAACAGTGATGAGATATTTTTCAAAATGACTTTTCTTAGCAAGTTTAAATTGCATAATTGTAGTTTAATTTAAAGTTACCAGATTTTAGTTAAGTTGATTCTGTACTTGGAAGCAAAGTTACTTGATTCCAAATGTTGGCTGGCTGGAATTTAGAATTCCGTTTTAAGGTGTCCTTAACTGAAGCTATAAAGACTGGAAAGTCAACTAGAAGAAAGGATGAAATGAACTGAAATTTTCACTGATAAGCAAAAGTAAAAGAATGCCTTAGGACTCTGGCTTAGCAAGGGTACATTACTATTATTCAGTGAGAAGGGGAAGGAGGAAAGAAAGGGAGTGGGGAAGTGGTAGAAGGAAAAAAATACACAAACTTTAGTATAGTATATATTTAATTTGCAAAAACCCAGGTAAGACAAATCAGTATAAATAAATTTGCTTGTGACAAAAGTACAAATGTAGTGACAATTGGTTTCGATGCTGTAACCCCCCACGAATAGGAAACAGGACTGAGCAATAGGAAGAGAGTTGAATGACTCTCAAGGGAAACACAATGGTTGTCCAAACAGGTGGGCTACAGACGCTCTTTGATGGGTGGTGCTGCTAGTGGTTTTCATGTTGTTGTTTTGTTGGGTCTTTTTTAGTGAATTATATAGCTTTATGGTGAAATGTGCAAATCTTTAGTTTGTCCCAGGCCCCAGCATTCCCTATTGTCTTTCTCATCTTGGACCAAATTCATATACTTAAGTTACTTCCTTAGTTACTTCCTAAATTACTTCCTCAAGGAAGACATGTAATGTTTGCCACCCTTGCTTGCCCTATGAATCAAATGCATCTTTTTAGGGCATTTTAGAGGACATTGATAGAAGAGATGGAAAGTTGAAATGGAACCTTTCTTAGGGTATATCAAGTCATAAAAGAAGTATCCTTTAATACATTTAAGTGAATATTTTATCTGGTCACATTTCATAGCTTGGAGGTTAGCAAAGCCTTACTGTTGGCCTTCATTTGTGATGTGTTTGATTACTGACTCCTACACATTCTGTATATATATTTTAAATTTCTTAATTGAGATATAATTGACATAACATTAGTTTTAGCTGTACATTATAATATACATTGTGAAACTATCACCACAATGAATTAACATTCATCACCTCATGTAGTTACATTTTTTTTTTCTTGTGATGTGAACTTCCAAGATTTCATATTTTTAATTAAATGGAATTAATGTTAGGAAATTTTGACAGATGGCAATGGGATCATTACTGCAACAAACCCTTTTTCTCCCTATTTTTCTTAAACTTAATACCTGTGAAGTATAACATTTTTAGCAGAGGGAATTTTTTTTCAAATAAAAACTTATGTAGAATCCCAATATTAAGTTAAAATTATATTTTGTTACCATTAATAAATTGGATAGGATTAAATTATTGGACATTTATGAGAAAACATTAAGCAATATAGTTCTAGATAACAGAATTTTATGTTTATTGCAGTTTCAAGTCATTTCTGTGTTTTGTTTTGTTTAGGTATAAAGAAATTACCTTCAATTAAGTAAAAATAGAAGATGCTTTAGTCCAAGTTTTGCACAAATCTAGTGAACTCTAAAGTAAAAGTTAACATATTTGTCTCTAATATCTCTAGTGGTTATTTGAGCATTAAAAACTTATATTCTATATTTTCAAATAAATTTAAATCAAGCATTTGTGGAATCTTTGAAATAGTTTTGCAAAACAGCCTGAAATCACTGGAGTAAGTCACAGTTTTGCTAAGTACTGTAGGAGTAAATCTGAGGTCCTCGTTGAGACTCAGCCATTTGCTGGCCTTGTGACCTATGTCTGTTTATCAGGTTCAAGAATGGAAAGAATGCCTATCCTTCCTCCCTCATGGAACGGTCAGGAGAACTAAGTTTAGTAATAAAGTAAATAGAGCTTATAAACTAGAGTGCTGTGTTCAATCATTAAATCATCACCTCATGTTTTCCCCAATTATATTTAGAATTTTTTTTTTTCACTTTGACCTAGCTCCTTGTCTAGGCTAGGCTGTGCTCTCAGCATTAGCTTTGGATTTCTCCCTGACGAGCTCATTTGCCTTTAAGCAGATTTTATTCCAACCGTGGTTCCTCTCATCACTCATCTGCACTCCTAGGCTTGCCTGGCTGCCTTGTCCTTACAATCCCAGATTAAAATTTTAAAGAGATTCAAGATGGAAAAGAGAGGATAACATGTCATAACTTTGTACCCATAGTACAGTTTATTTTTAATTTAGTTTTTTTTTTTTTGGCCATTTTCAAACATAAGTAGAAAGACGGCTGTAATGATTTCACACTGTACTTGCCATTCTGCTGTAGTATTTATCGATGTTTAGTCATATACTCCCACTTTATTTTGCTACAGTATCTCTAAGCAAATCTCAGAAATTGTTTTATTCCACTTGTAGTACACATATCTAATAATCTTTAAAAAAAATAATTCTATATTAATCAGTCCATTTCTCCCCAGTAGATTTGTTGAAATCAAAATCCAAACAAGGTTCACATATTGCATTTGGGTGACATGTCTCTTTAAGACCTGTAAAATCTATAATAGTTTTCCACTGCTTTAAAACAGTTTTGTACCCAGCTGGTGTTCAATGGTTGAGCATCGACCCATGCTCCAAGAGGTCACTGGTTCAATTCTTCGTCAGGGCACATGCCCAGGTTGTGGGCCTGATCCCCAGTGGAGGGCATGCAGGAGGCAGCCAATTGATGTTCTCTCAATGTTTCTATCTCTCTCTTCCTCTCCCTTCCTCTCTCTCTAAAATCAATAAACAAAAAAGCTTTTGTTATTAAGGTGTCATATACAGTAAGTGCCCAAATCATAAGGATACAACTTAGTAATTAGAAAAGTAACCCACACACATTCACATCCTTGTAGAACTCCACCAGTATAGAACTCCCTTATTTTATCATTGCCATTTGAATGATAAAATATTAAGGCAGACTGTTTTAATGCTCTTAAAACATGCTTTTATTTACCATGATTCCCAGTAGCCTAACCTGTTTTAAACTTTTTTTTTTTTCTCACCTGAGGACATTCTTCCATTTTTTGTTCAGGTAGAGTGGGAGGGAGAGAGAGAAACATCGATGTGAAAGGGACACATCGAGTGGCTGCCTCCCACCCGACCCAATCAGGGCCGGCAACACACTGCAACCGAGGTACGTGCCCTTAGCGGGAACTGAACCCCGGTCTCTCTGGGCCATGGCTGAAGTTCCAACCACCAAGCCAAACAGTCCAGGGCTGCTTTTAACTATTTTTAAGATGTTGAAAATGATAATGGAAAGTTGCATTTTATTAGCATAGGTAATATGTAGGTAACCTAATGTCGTTAATATAGGTTAACCAATATAATGCCAACATTTTTTTTGCAGGAATTGTGTCAGTTCAGTGTGGTAACGTGAGTTATCTTCTGAGAATTAGAAGCGCTAAGACTCAAAAGTGCTTATTAGCAATCGGGGGTCATGAATAAAAATGAAAAGCAAAGTTATCAAATAAATGCAGTTTGTTCTATGGATAGAACTTTTCAAAATGGGATCATTGGCGGGAAAAAAAATAGCATTGGAACTATTGTCATAGAACCAGAGAATTTTAGTTTTGGAATCTACCTTAGAGAGAATTTCAGCAACCCTCTCATTGAGTAGACGAGGGAAGGTATGTAGCTGTTAAATCTTTCCATAGAGCTCACCGAAAGCTAGAGTTTGTTTATATGGTAGGCATGGATACTCTTACATCACCTTTAATTTCTGGCTTACACTTTTTATATTACATGAAAAATGAAATTTATAGGTTCTCATAGGATGCCTGCCACTCTGAGTTTATCTTAGAGTAGTGTTTGCATGTTTTATTGTCATCTGCCCCGATTGAAAAACAGACAAACTGATAAACGAAGGCACTGCTAGGAGTGGCAAGTATAGATCACATGTAGTTGAGATGGTGGTGAAAGTCATCGAGCAGGCTGTATGTGGACTGCGTCAGCTTCAGCCGTGTACTGGTGCACACCATTGACTATCTGCCTCCACGGAGTATGCAAAGACGAAATACTGGAACTAGCTTGTCAAAATGATGTCTTAACGTTACTTAAAGATGTAATTAGGGATTTAGGTTTCTTTAGCGTTTGGGAAAATCCATGTTCCACTTTTATTTATTTGATTTTTGCACATATTTTCTGTAAGTGTTTATGTATTAAAGTAGGAAACTATGTATCAGTTGGAGAATGTCTTTTGTGTTTCTATAGCAAATACATCTTAACATTTTCTTTCCTCCAATCTGTAAGTTTCCAGTTGGTGTGACTTAGAAATTGTGCTATTTTAAAATATATTTATTTCTATTTTAAAAATTCTACATTTACTACATAGGTATAATAAAAAGTTAATTCATATGTTCAGAATGTAAATATATTATGTCTTCTGGAATACGGAACTTAATGGACCATAAGATAGACCATTTCTTGTGACTCTTCCCACAATGCATGTGGCAAGCATTCTCCTAACACAGAATCGTCCTCTGTCCTCTAGCCTTCATCTGCCTCAGCAGCATGGCACAACTGAGGAAGGGCACCTCTGATGCCCCTTTCATTCCTAGTGGATGAATCAACAGGTTCTGCCCCTAGGAACAGTAAACTACCAGCAAATGTAGCTATCATCATGTTATAGCACATGCAATTTCACAAATCCAAGAGAAAATTACGTCACCGCAGTATTGTAATCATGGCCAGAAAAAAACCTCAATTTTGGAGTTACATAAAGAAAGAGAAGGGAATGTCTTGTCTCCTCGCCCTGGAGGTGGGACAACTTAGAGAAACTATTAGGCCCATAGAAGAAATTCCTTGATAGCCTGCCTTATTATTTTAAGAAAGTCATAATAAAAGTGTTATACATGAACAAAGAAGACACAACTCGATAGAAGCATATGAATGCATCTCTAATAAAATAGTAAACTAAATTCTCTGTAGAAATTTCAGTTTAAAAGGCCGATCAGAAATGTTGAGGGTTAGGAAATACTACATTTTGTCCAAGTGAAATCTAGAAATGGTTGACCAAAAAACAATGAACAAAACAAAAATTGTTAGGAGCGATGCATTGATTTCCTTGATGATAAAAGTGAAGGTTTAGAGAGCGAGCGAGCATGTCAGCTATTCAATGATTCAGTTTCATAAACTTAAGCATCTGAAACTTAACCATTATGTCTCCCACATCCTGGACAAAATGTGGGTAGAACAGAAAATGTAACTGCTAGAACCTGTTTTTTCTCCCTTCTTCAAATTCCTCAGTCTATACCATAGATAGATAAAGAGAAATATTATTTTTAAATAGGCTGATTCTGTTTTCAGAATTACTAATTAGCCTTTGCTACAAAAAGCTGGTTATATAGCAACTTTCTGTTGGTTGTTGTTTTTAATTCAACACCAGCTCCAAAGACTTTTGAAAAACAGATTTGGTTAGTATTTCAGATCATTTTTTCTTTTAGGCTATTTCTGTTACAAAGAAGCCAAATGTAATTTAAAGAAACAAACAAGTAAACCATATACTTCTGACACTAACAAGACCTAAATTAAATAAACCTTGCCTGTTATCTTAAGGTGAAAAAAAATGAATGAATTTACAGAAACTATAACTCAATTCAAGTGACGGGCTGGTTTCTAGCATAATACACAACCTCTTCTCTCTTCAGGAACAATGTATTATCAAGATCCCACCAGAATGAATAGTCCAGTGACAGTGACAATTTATCCTTGTTTGATCAACGCTACAAGCCCTGTTATTATGAAATTATATAATTTTTAGGAGATAATGCTTTTTAAAATAGAATCTAAAACTACTTTTATCAAGATATAATTTGAATACTTGACAAAAGCTTGTTATTACCTTACAATCACTTTTATTTAAATTATGTAGAGCACGGTTTATTAATGTGTCTGTTCATCACTTAGAATGTCTTGCGCTTATCTAGGACGTGTCAAACAGCAGATAAAATTATGCATTTATATACAAATGACCCCAATATTTTGAGAGGTTGCTTAGTTGTGCTTATTTTTAATATATTTATAAATGGGGAAAAATCAGCCTACTTAGTTTACTAAATTGCACAATTTCATTTCTTCAAAGGATACTATGTGAAACTGTAAAGGACTTCGTTGCCAAAGTCGAGAAGGCAAATGAGAAAACATTGGAAAATGCTGTTGTAGCCGATGCTGTGGCGAATAAAGTAAGAACACACAATGAGGGCAAGAAAGATTTTTTACTGACAATGTTAACATTCAGCTTGTTTTACAGCTAAAGTGATTAAGTGTTTTTCCTGCCAAAACATCCTAAGTCAAGAGAAAAGTTACTTTTGAATCATATATGACTGTTTAAAAACATTCTCTTTTATGGTTACCCCTTAAGATGTAGGAAAACTGCATTGCTGAAGACCATCCAACACACCGAATTTTATAATGCAACTACCTGTTCCCACTGATCAGCATCTCGAGGGAGAACTGCATGACAGTCAGGTCCCCGGGGAGAAAGCTGGGGGCCAGGGTTCCGGTGCAGGGGGGATGGCTCTCCATTTCCAGGCACACTTTGGCCAGTCAGGTGCCTCCCAGCACCGCTCCTCAGATTCCCTAGACTTACAGTCCTCTGTACCTTTCAGGTTCTCTTTCTTGCCTTTTTCTTTATAGATTGTTACCACTTTGAGAGCTTTGGAGGCTAAAGTAAGAGTAGTCTACTGAACCTTAAGAGCCACTGTCTGCTTTCATGTGTTCATGGCAAGGCATGTTCACAAAAGGCTTGGCTCTCTTGGGTTTGCAAAGAAATGATCTCTCCCAGCTTCATGATGTAGATGGTGGTTTATTTGAGTAGAAGGAAAAGAAAATATAAATAAAGATACGTTGAAGTTTTCCGTCTTTTTCTCTTGTTTTTCTACTCTGGAGAGCTGCAGGAAACAGAAACCCTTTCTACCGACACTTCTTTCTTTTAACTCTTTCTGCTGTAACTGTCTTGGCATGTTAACAAAGACAAATAAGTGGAGAAGGAAAGAATTGGAAATTCAGTCCGAAATGTTTCTTTCCCCCTAGTAATTCAAGAAAAGCAGAAAGAAACAAGGATTGAGTGCCTATGGTTTTTTTTTTTTCTCTTTCTCTGAGCCAGTAATTCCTTAAGGCACTGTTCACTCCTTTGCAAACCAAACCTTAGAAGGTCAGCTTATCAAGACGTAGCCAGACCTGCAGTTTGAAATGCTCAGAATGCTGCCATAAGTTCATGTCCTTTAAACAGTGTTAATGTGGTGTTTTATATACTGAGCAGCAAATTTTGTAAAATGTTTACATTTTTTGTGTAATGTGTCATTTTATTGTAAAGCGTTTGTTGTTGTTATTGTTGTTTGAGTGAAAAATAGTATACGACGATTGTAAATATTTTCACCCATGAAATGGAGTCTGAATGGTCCTGGAAGTATAAATAAATTTACATAAGAATTGTGCTGTTTTTAAAATTATAAATTATTTAGTCCACAGGCTGTCTAAAGTATAATGTATAATAGCCAATTACCAATAAACATCAGTATATATGTTTCCTGTAAAATCAGAAATCATTCATGTAAATTATCATTTTTTATCTCCGCTAAATGAGGCCTCCCTCGGCACTCTTGTCTCCTCAGTGTTCGGTCCTCAACGAGAAGCTGGAGCAGCTGCTCCAGGCTCTGCACACGGACTCCCCGGCCGCCCCGGTGCTCCCCCTCGTCGAAGAAGACACCGTGGAATCTTCCAGCGAAGAGTCCTTGTGTGAAAGCAAGGAGCAGCTCTTGGGGGACTCTGCCAGATCTTCCTCCCAGAAAGCAGTCAAGCCAAATGAAATCATGTTGCGGGCTAATAGTTTAAAGAAAGCAGTGAGGCAAGTCATCGAAGAAGCCGGAAAAGGTACACAGGAACGAAGTGGGCCTTGGAAGGGTTAGCAACATTCTCGTTGCAAGCACGGGGAAGTTTTCATATTGGTCAGGCTGGACACACTTAGAGTGTGTGTGTGTGTGTGTGTGTGTGTGTGTGTGTTTTGGTTTTGTTTGCAAGACAAAATAAAAGATAAATCCATTAAAGTGAAATTTGTACTAGTAAATAGTCCTAGTTATTGTTTCAGTAGTATGGATCAGCATAGTAATGATACTTAAAATCTCAGAAACAAAGTACACTGGAAACATTAAAATAAAATTGAAAATTATAGTACTTTAAATAATATTCGAAGATTTAAAATATTTTTTACTTAATTAGAATCTTTGAATTCTAAACGAAAGTCAAACCTATATACTATTTTGAAAATATTCCCTTAATATGTATTTCCTAAATGTTTACATTGCTTTTGTAAGAGTTTCTAAAAGTTCTGCCTATATTTTAATTTTTATGTTACTGTAATGTATATGATCATAGAACTTTTGTAGTAGACTAAAAGTTGATTTTAATCTAGATAATAAATATCCCCAATCCTTTACAGGTTGTAACTTGTAATTGGACTTATATTTTATTCTCTTAAATTCTTATATTTTATTTTTTCTTCTAATAAAAATATAATTTTGGCAATTTAACTTTATAATCTCTAGCACTTATAAACATTACCCCGAAGTTTATTGCCAGGCAGTGTTTGTGTATGACTAGAAACTTCCTTTTGGCTTACGTTTCAGTTTTTTTTTCCCTAAGCATATATTGATATTCATAGATTTTATTTTTTCTTGTTTAAACATGTTTATCTTCTTATTACTTAAAGCTATCGATGAACAGACAGTTCACCCTTGTGAGGCAGTCAATCAGTCCTTCGATTATGATAGTACAGAAACAGATGAATCTAAAGAAGAATCTAAAGATGACGATGCAAAAGAGTCATTAACTGGTAAGAAAACTAAGATGAAATTATTTTGAAATTAAATAAAAGACAATTGTGCTTTTAGTTTTCAAGAGGCTTATCAGTTTGAAATAAACTGTTTTTCTTTTCTTAAGAATATTTTTTCTTTGTTGATTTTAGAGAGAGAGGAAGGGAGAGGGAGGGATAGGAACATCACTGAGAGAGAACATTGATCGGCTGCCTCCTGGGGATCAGGCCACAGTTTGGGCATGTGCCTTGACTGGGAATTGAACCCACAACCTCTGGTGCATGGATCGATTCTCAACCACTGAGCCACATCAGCCGGGCTGTATTTTTATTTTCAACAAGGCTTTTCAAAATTTAAAACTTAGCTGTTCATGAATACTAAAATAATAGAGGTGACATTATTTAGACTATTAAGTTCTCGCACATCTCCTTTTAATCATATAATGTACAGGTTATCATAGTAAATTAAGGATTATAGGACCAAACATGCCTACATATGTCAGTTTTCCTGAAGAAATAGAGAAGAGACAAAACACCTAAGTCACCAGATTTTAACTTATTCCTTTGAGAAGTATATGAAAGCTGAAGGCCCCACATGCATAAAATTTGGCATTTAAATAACTCATCAGTTCCTTGAGTTCCATTGATCAGCGTGTAGATGGTTGATAATCTTTATTGCTAAATTAAGCTTTAATAATAATAGGATATCTATTTATAATCTTTTCACTACTGAAATTAATTTTGCCAATAAATGAATATATAGTTGCTTAAAGAATGTTAATTATTTCTCTACCTTTTAAGTTAAAAATGAGGATGGATTTATACTTATAATATATCATATTGTATAAGGGAAAAATTAATGTACTAGAATAGGACAAAGCAGAAATTAAAATGTTAATAAAACTGAGAGGATAATATGAAAATAATTACATAGTACTAATATAAAATCAATACTTATATTAGAGCTGTTTGCAGTCATTACATTTTTACTTTCATTACATATAAAGTTGAGCAGATTACTACTCTGGCTTCCTCATCTGTAAAATGGGGATAATAATGTACCTGTTTTATACCATAGCTACTTGTTGTGAAGGTTAAATAAGTTAATATATATAAAGTGCCTAGAATAGTGACTCATACATAGTGCTGTCTGTTTAAGAGTGTTTGCTGACACTATCATTATTATTGCTACTATTGCCACTGCTACTAATTACATTAACTTTGAGATAATATTCCTTAATTGTATTTAAAACACCTAAGAGACTTCAAAATTAGACCTTATAGACCTTATATGTCTGGCATGTAGCAATGCTTGCATATTCTACAATCTCAGTCCTTTCAGACTTCCCATATACCTATTCCCGCACACATGAACCTAACATTTCCACTGTAGTTGGCAAAGGAAACTAAAAAATACAGATACAGTAGATACTGATATCGAAATAGACAGGTATGTGTCTTCAACGATGCAGTATTTGATCTTATTACTTGGTGAGTAATCCAGTTTAGTCAGAATCATCAATAAAAGGGTTTTAGTATTAGGCAATCACTTTTTTTTAAACACACTCATTGCATTATCATTATTTTGTGTAACAATTCATATGTCTGTGAGATGTACAAAATACAATATATTAATATGATAAATGAGACATTTAAGAGCCATGAAACATTAATTTATTTACCTGCAATGGATCATCAATCTTAGCCATTAGGATGCTTTCTGCTTGTTATCAGAGATGAATATCAAAAGGTTGTTTTCACTAGAAATTAGCCTCAGGGCTTTCATCTGTCCAAAAAAAAAAAAAACTAGTGTTCTGTTAGTTTTCTTTAGTGTAAGATTAATATAGTTAGTTTGTAATTAGTCTTAGGAAGAGTAAAGGTAATTACATTTTAGAGTATTAAATTGAGTTTTAGGATTACTGTTTTTTTAAACACCTTCTAAAAGCTCCTAAATTAGTTAAAGATATATTTGCTCTCCATTAAAATGCTCTAGTTTAGGTAGAATTAAATCTCTCTTTTTGTTGTGGACTTTGAAAGTAATTCTCTTTTGGAACAATTTTTAAATGTATTGCACTTTTACAAAACATGATAGGACTGTTTGGAGCAAATCTTTGTTTTGAATAAGTAACTAATTGAGAAGTGCAGGAAAAGTATATTGCTTACATTTGAAAAAATATACTATTTTTCCTTTCATTTATAGAAGAAAATGTTAACTCGTGGTTAATATAATAGCTCTGAGAAATCCATTAATTAAATTTAATCATTCACCGAACATTTATAAAAAAGGATTACATTGATAATATCATAACACATATGTTTTATTTTTTTTAATTATCAGGTTTCAAAAGTTCTTTTTATCTTTACATTTGAGGTGATTACATTCAAATTAGGAGTATTACTGACCTTTAATTATGGTAGGCATCTCTTTTCTAATGATCTCCATCTATTTGAAATGAGAGATCAAGATTTGTAGCTGTGGCAGAGTTTCTCCATATAGTAACTCTCAAGACAATGAAAACAAATGGTAAACTAGGTAAGCACAGTATAACATCTTTATTTCCACAGATTGATTTAAACATGTATAAATTATTTTATGTCTTGAATTTATAGGGGCTCACTTATTACTGTAACTTTATCATTTCCTCGTTTTAATCTGGACCTTTTGCCAACAGTTAAAACTGCACCTCGGTCTCCAGATGGTCGGGCAAGTCGTTCCCAGACTGACCTGGGCCCTGGTTCAACTGTGGCAGCCAGCAAAGAAAACCTCCCTGTGCTCAATACCCGAATAATCTGCCCAGGTAGTACATATTCTGAAACATGGTATATTTTTAAGTATTTCTGTGAAAATTTATAGTTACTCATTTCTATGAACTATTGAACTGTATTCTTTTTTTTTTTTTTCCCTCACCCGAGGATATTTTTCCATTTATCTTCAGATGTAGTGGGAGGGAGGTAGGGAGGGAGAGAAAGAAACATCGATGTGAGAGAGACATATTGATTGGCTGCCTCCTGCACGACCCCAACCAGGTCTAGGGACCAAACTGTAACCAAGGTATGTGCCCTTGACCAGAATCAAACCTGCAACTCTTTGGTCCGCAGGCCAGTGCTCTAACTGCTGAGCCAAACTGGCCAGGGCTGAAAAGTATTCTAATGTATTCTTTTTTTTTTTTTTTCCATTTTTTGCACAGATAGAGTGGGAGGGAGAGAAAGGAAGAGAGAGAGAGAGAAACATTGACGTGAAAGGGACACATCGAGTGGCTGCCACCCGCACGACCAACCAGGGCCGGGGACAAACTGCAACCGAGGTACATGCCCTTAGCGGGAACCGAACCCGGGTCTCTCCGGACCACAGGCCAACGCTCTAACCGCTGAGCCAAACCGGCCAGGGCTGAAAAGTATTCTAATGTATTCTTAAAGATAAATATCCCATCAGGAGAATGTGCTTGGTATACTTATCAACCATAATCTAGATCCTTAAACTTTTGTGTAAGAATTGCAGAGAAAGTATTAAAATATATGTTTATGGTCTCTGCCCTGAGAAATTTGGTATGAGTAGTTCTAGAGTGGAACCCAGGAATCTGCATTTATTAAGTTCCCAAGGTAAATCCAATCTTATAGTCTACTACCCTTTACATATCTTCACAGCTTTCCTTTTAGTTTTAAGCCACAGTCTTTCTGCAGTTATTTTTACACTAAAATATTGTTTCATTTTGGAACTTCTGAGAAATCTATTTCAGATGACAAGATGAATTAATCTTAGAATTAGGTTTGTACTAGTGGAAACCAAAGAACTTGTGTAGCAGAGGAGGTAGGAAAATATAGACATCTCAGAGGCCTTCTTAAGTACCAACTATTGAATTAGTGAAAACTCTCCAGATTCATTCCAGAATAGATAGGAATCCAAATTACACCCTGAAATATAACACACATTTGTCTCTTCTACAAGTTATTTTTAAAGGTGAATCACAATTCAATAATAATAGTTGGAAACTTTAGTACTCCTCTTTCAGGAGTGGATAGAACAACTAGATAGAGATCAACAAGGAAATGGGAGACTTGAAAAACACATAAAACAAGTAGACATAACAGATGTTTACAGAATACTCTACCCAACAACAGTATGCATTCTTCTATATATTGTTCTATATATGGAACATTCTTCAGGATATACCATATATTAGGCCATAAAACAATTTATAAGGATTGAAATAATAAAAAGTACATTCTCTGACCACAATTGGAATGACATTAGAAACCAGTGCCATAAGAAAATTTGGGAAGTGTACAAATATGTGGATCAAAGAATATCACAAGAGTAATTAAAATACACTTTGATGTGAATAAAAACACAATATATTATATACCAGAACTCATTTGATGCTACTAAAGAAGTGCTTAGAGTGAAATTTGTAGCTTTAAATGACTGTATTAAAAAAGTAGCACTGGCCAGTTTGACTCAGCAGTTAGAGCATCAGCCCGCAGACCAGAGAGTCTAGGGTTCAAGTCCGGTCAGGGGCACATACTTTGGTTGCAGTTTGGTCCCTGGCCCTGGTTGGGGTTGGGGCCGTGCAGGAGGCAATCAATCAATGTGTCTCTCTCGCATCGATGTTTCTCTCTCTCTCTCCCTCCCTCCCTCCATCCCTCCCACTGTATCTGAAAATAAATGGAAAAAAGTGTCCTTGGGTGAGGATTTTAAAAAAAGGTAGAAAAATCTCAAAAACCTAATTCTCCAACTTAAAAAACTAAAAAAAAGACAGCAAACTAAATTCAAAGCAACAATAGGAAAGAAATCAATAAAAATTAGAGTGGCAATAAATGAAACTGAGTATAGAAAACAATGAAACCAAAAGTTGTTCTGTGAACAGATTAACAAAACAGACAAACTTTACATGGACCAAGAAAATAAGAAAGAAGATTCAAATGACTGTTTCCAGGAATTAAAGATGAGACATCACTATGGACCTTACAGAAATAGAAAGGATTGTAAGGGGGGAAACTATAAAATATTGCGTGTCAACAAATTAACCTAGATGAAATGGACAAACTTTTAGAAACACACAAACTACCAAAACTGCTTCAAGAAATATAGAAAATTTGATTAGACCTTAAACAAGTAAAGAGAATGAATTAATAATCAAAAACTTTCAATAAAAAAAAAAGCCCAGGCCCAAATTGCTTCACTGGTGAAGTTTAAAGAAGACTTAGCACAAATCCTTCACACACTCTTTTAAAAACTGTGAGAAGAAAAAACACTTTGAGGTCAGTATTGCCCTGATACCAAAACTAGTCAAAGACATCACAAGAAAACTACACATCAATATTCTTTATGAATAGCAACATAAAAATCCTCAACAAAATACTAGCTAATTGAATCCAACAACTTGTTAACAATTATACAGCATTACCAGTATTATCCCAGAGATGTAAGGTTGATTCAACATAATGAAAACCAATCAATGTGGTATACTATATGAATGAAATAAAGGACAAAAATTACATAATCATCTCAGTAGATACAGAAAGAGCATTTAAAAAAATTCAACACTCTCTGATGGTAAAAACACACAACAGGAATAGAAAGGAACTTCTTCAACCTGATAAAGCTGCAGCTGACACCATGCTTAATGGTGAAAGGTTGACAGTTTCTCTCTAAGATCAGGAACAAGACAAGGATGTTCACGCTTACTACTTCTAGTCAACATTGTAATGGAGGTTTTAGCTTGGGAAATTAGGAAAAATTAAAAGAATTAAAGGCATCCAAATTGGAAAGAGGAAATAAAACTGTATGTCTTCATGATTTTATGTTACACATAGAAAATCCTAAGCAGTACACATACACACTATAAATAATAATAAATATATAATTTTTAATAAACATATAAATATATAATATTTTTATAAATATAAATATATTTATAATATAAATTATAATATAAATATAATGTAATATAATTATAATATAAATATATTTATAAAAATAAATAGATAATAAATAAGTACAACAGGGTTGCAGGATACAAGGTCAATATACAAAAAGTAATTGTATTTCTCTACACTAGTCATGAACAATCTTAACAGGAAATTAAAATAATTTTATTTACAATGGCATCAAAAATAACAGAAACTTAGGAATAAATTTAACTAAGATGGTGAAAGATTTGAATACTGAAAACTATAAAACATTGCTGAAAGCAATTAAAGAAGATCTAACTAAATGTAAAGACATCATCTGTGTTCATGGATTGGAAGGCATATTATTAAGATGAGGGCAGCTCATCTCAAATTGATTACAGACTCCACACAATCCCTACCAAAATCCCAACTGTCTGTTATGCAGAAATTGATAAGCGGATCTTAAATTTCACATGGAAATACAAAGGACCCAGAAGAGTTAAAACAATATTGTGAAGGAAGAAGAAAGTTGAAGGACATTACTTCCTGATTTCTGCCCTTACTACAAAGCTCCAGTGTTCAAGACTGCATGGGACTGGCATAATAGTAGTCTTATAGATCTATGGAATCTGAGAATGTGCTAAGACAGTTATTCAATGGGGGAAAAATAGTTTTTTCACTCACTGGCACTGGGACAACTAGATATACACAACGAATTAAGTAGATAGTTTGATCCAAAGTACACTACCAAGAAAGTGAGATGATAGTACACAGGATAGGAGAAGACATTTACAAATAAGCTATCTGATAAAGGACTAGTATCCAGAATATATAAAGAACTCAAAATTCAAAAATAAAAAGAAAAATATCCCAGTTTAAAAATGGGCAAAGGATCTTTTGGTAGTCATTTTCCCAAAATGATATAGAGACGGCCAATAAGCATATGAAAAGATGCTCATGTTATTAGTCATCAGAGAAATGCAATTCAAAACTGCAGTGAGATACTACCCCCACACACACCACCCCCAGGATGGCTATGATCAAAAAAGATAGATAATAACAAATATTGGCAAGGGCAGAGAGAAATTGGAACTGTCATACATCAGTGATTAGAATGTAAAATGGTGGAGCCATTTTGAAAGAGTTTTGCAGTTCCTCAAAAAGTTAATGATAGAATTAACATACAACCCAGAAATTCAAATATAGACATACCCACGAGAATTGAAAAGTATCTACAATGGAATATTATTCAACTATTTAAAAAGAATGAAACACAGATACATTGTATGACATGTCTACCCTTGAAAACATTATGCCAAGTAAAAGAAGCTTTACCCAAAAAGCCACATATTACTTGATTCCATTCATATGAAATGTCCAGAATAGTCAGTCCATAGAGTCTGAAAGTGGTTTAGTGGTTTTCAGGATCTGGGGGCAGAGAGGAATGGAAAACAACCGCTCATAGCTATGAGGTAGGATTCTTTTGGGGGTAATAAAAAAAAAGTTCTAGAATTAGATGATGATCATTACACAACTTGGTGTGTATGCTATAAACAACTGAATGAAATATTTTTAAAGTGTGAAATTTATGGTATATGAATTATAACTCAATGAAAATATTAAAATAATAAAAGATAAATCCAGAACTTACTTGATTCTAGAATGGCCTTCATGTCTAAAGGTCATATCTCTATTCAAACCTGGAGGACCTTTCTGGGTTGAAGCTGTAAATCTGGCTAACCTCAAAACATTTTAGAAAATATTATACTTTCCTGTGGGGCAGTTGAAGTATGGCTCTTTACCTCTAAACTGGTCTGTCCTCTCATCAGAACAATTGTTTTGTTCGTTTATATACTTAGACATAAAGGAAATTGGCATAGTAAAATATGCTATAGCATATTCAAACTATGAAATGAAATTCGTCTTGATTATTTGATAATCAGCTCAATTTTACTAGCTAAAACAATGAATAATAATCTAAGAAGGGTACCTATTGGGATAGAAATGCTTGCTTAAGAAAGGACTTTTTGTCCTAATTTCCTAATATTTCTCAATTGTGTGACATATTTTTCTTCATTAGTTTTCCTTTTTGTTTGTTTGTTCCCTTAAGCCCTTATTACATTGTCTTCTCTCCAAGACTTTAGTGCTTCTAACCTTAATATTGGATTGAGTAGATAATAAAATTCATTAGCTTTGAAATACCATAACAGTCAGGGGTGGGGAACTTTTTTTCTTCCAAGGGCCATTTGGCAGAAATGGCCAAATGATTAAATTAGCCTGCTATAGTTGGTCCTGCTACTTTGGTGACACATGTGATGAGAGGTGGGGTATTGATTTCTTGGGTCGTATATGACCCACGAGCTGGATGTTCCCCACCCCTGCACATAACTAGTTATTAGAAAGCATATTGAAATAAATTTGAAGTTTTGCATATTTTGAGATAAAATAAATGTTTCAATTTTTTATGTTCAATACTGTATTTGTCTCAAATTTACTAATACGTACATTTAATATTTTACTACTTATTGTTGACACCAACGTGTTTACATCTTAGTTTGTCTGTTAACTTTTTCTTTTTTTTTTTATCCTCACCCGAGGACATTTTTTCAATATTTTGTTCATATAGAGTGGGAGGGAGAGAGAGAGAGAGAAACATCAATGTGAAAGGGACAAATCGAGTGGCTGCCACCCGCATTACCAACCAGGGCCGGGGACAAACTGCAACTGAGGTACACGCCCTTAGCAGAAACCGAACCCGGGTCTCTCCAGACCGCAGGCTAACGCTCCAGCCGCAAAGCCAAACCGGCAAGGCCGTCTGTTAACATTTTAAATTGAGTATTATTATCTATGTTGTGTGAGTATGGAATTGCTAACTCCATGGCATTTTGGGTAATTCAGGCTTTATTGTCAATTTCTTATAGTCTTAATATTTTATTTGCTGTAACAGAAAGTAATATTTGTTGGAGTTAGAGAAACATTGGGATGGTAAATGAGAAACTGTCACCAAGAGACTCCTATTTAGGTACTCATCTTCTTTATTTCTTTTTTTTATAGCAACGTATTGGTCCTAAGAAGCATGAAAAGCCTTGTCCCTGCCAAGGTCATAATTCTTAATTTTTAATAATGAGAAAAGCAGGCACTAAAAACCGTGCTTAGGGAGCAAGATACTTGAGATTAGGCCTGAAAACAGCGGACTGGATTTTTCTGGGTTGTTTTTTTCTTTCTTAAGTTGTGACTCTGTATATATTTATTTTTCCCTGTCCAGGCTTAAGAGCAGGATTAGCTGCCTCAATTGCTGGGAGTTCTATTATCAACAAAATGTTACTAGCAAATATTGATCCTTTCGGTGCAACACCATTTATTGACCCAGATCCAGATTCACTGTAAGCAAATACTTTCACAGATATTTGGTTTTGGCTTTTCTTATTGCTGTTTTATATTAATCGGGACATTGTAAGTGTATTACAATAAATATGGTTCCATGTACAAAAAGAATGATCAGAAAGTTTCACAAGTTGGTAATGATGGGCACATTGACCCATGTGAAATACAGTGGTTGTTATAACCTATTCCTGAGGTAGGTCCTTCCCGCCTTTTGTCTCAGGTAACAAGTCTCTGGTGAATCGAGACACCACCCTACTCACTTTTCCTGGGAGTGCTTTCTGCGTTGACTCCTGCGTATCCATATTCGTGCTATTCCCTTTGCCTCCTTTCTTCTTGGTCTTGCCAAATCTGTCACCATCTTTCCACATCCAGCTTCTGGGTTAACATTTTAGGAAGTTTTTGGCCGACATTGATCTCTTCCCTTCTTAAATTCTTAAAACATTTTTTGGCAGTTCAATATATACTTCCTTTTACGTCCATATTTAATTTTGCCTTTATTATGTCTCATTTCTCTGATAACAGCCCTCAACGACAGTACCATATTTTAAACTTTGTACTTTCCAAAACACCTAGAAGAATGGAATAGATCTAGTAGTTTTTTGCTCAGTATTTGTCCGTTGATAAGAGTAGAAGTGGAGGAGACTTTCTAATGATGAAAGAGAGGAGTATTAGCCCCTGACTGCAGGGCCCTCCCATCTGTGTGTAGTGGTGGCTCAAGTTGGAGAGAGCTAAGATTTGGTTACAGATAGAAAAGCATTTCCATGACTCTTTCTTCACTTTGTCTTCCCACCATCCCTTTATGTTACCAACATTTACACACGTACTGGAGTCATGCATATTACATGTGAACAGGGGGTGGTTTCTGCTTAGCTTTACTCTCAGGAATGGAAGATTTAATAATTTTAAATGATGTGTATAAATTGTAATTGTTATGAACCTGAAATTGACTTTCATGTACTTTTCCTTATTATCATAGAGATGGATATTCAGAAAAATGTGTCATGAACAATTACTTTGGGATTGGATTAGATGCAAAAATTTCATTAGAATTTAATAATAAGAGAGAGGAGCACCCTGAAAAATGCAGGTAATTTTGATAATGGTAATAATGTTTTTACATGAAGGCAATTTTACTTTAATTTCATTTATGATCTCCTTTGCTTGCTCTGCCTTAAAGACTAAATAAATAATAGTTATTGAAATTGCCTGCCAACATTTATTTTCAGGAGCCGAACTAAAAACTTGATGTGGTATGGAGTCCTTGGAACCCGGGAGTTACTACAGAGATCATACAAGAATTTAGAACAGAGGGTTCAACTTGAGGTAAAGACATTTCAGGTTATCTTATTTGTAGAGTGCATTTGGCCTAGAGTCCTCTTGGTTATTGAACCCTCAAGGGGAAAAATGTGGAAGCAGTTACCTACTTTCTACTAAAGAAGGTATAGACACTGAATAATATGAGTGACACACTGAATTATCATAATCATTAGCTCCTGACATTTGTATGAGAAGCTGGAGACATGGGAGTATATTTTTAGGATAGCATTTTATGTGTGTTTTCTCATTTAAATTTCCAAATTCTAACACAATTCTAAAATGCCTGAAGTTTCACAGATCTCTGAAAACAACATATATCATAAATAGAATATTTTAATGTAAATGTATTTTTGTTCCAATTATGTCTAACAAGTTTAGTAAAAGAAAAGAGATTTTAAGCATTTAAGTCTATTAGTATTTTTTAGTAATTTGAATAGGAAAGTAAGAACAGCAAAAGTTATTTAATCTCCTCCAATAACAGGAAAAAGAAGGTTGGGGTCATGGCTCTGAAAAGTCTAATTTCTGTTGGTTATGCTTATGTGCATAAGTTCTGTTGTTTATCTCTTTCCTCCCTCCACCCCCTCCTATGAAGTTTTTTGGTCTGAACCCTACTTCTATGTCTCTGGGTCTGTTTTGTTCATCACCTTATTTTGTTCATTATATTCCACAACTAAGTGAGATAATGTGATACTTGTCTTTCTCTGACTAGCTTATTTCACTTAGCATAATACTCTCCAGGTCCCTTCATGTCATCTCAAAGAATAAGAGGTCTTTCTTTCTTATAACTGATTAGTGTTCCATTGTATATATGTACTACAGCTTTTTTATCCACTCATCTATATTGATGGACACTTGGGCTGTTTCCAGATCTTAGCCATTGTAAATACTGCTGCTATGAACATAGGGGTACATATATTCTTTCTAATTGGTGTTTCTGGCTTCTTAGGATATATTTCTATAAGTGGGATCACTGGGTCAAATGGCAGTTCCTTTTTTACATTTTTTGAAACACCATATTGTTTTCTATAGTGGCTGCACCAGTCTGCATTCCCACCAGCAGTGTACTAGAGTCCCCTTTTCTCCACACCCTCACCAACACTTGTTTGATAATTTGTTGATGGCAACCATTCTGGCAGGTGTGAAGTGATACCTCATTGTTGTGTTAATTTTCATCTCTCTGATGATTAGTAATGTTGAGCGTTTTTCATGTCTCTGGGCCATTTGTATGTCTGTTTGGAGAGGTGTCTGGTTCCTCTGCCCATTTTTTAGTTGAGTGTTTTGCCTTCCTTTTGTTGAGTTGTATGAGTACTCTATATATTTGAATATTAACCCCATATCTGTAGTTGACAGTTATACTCTTCCATATAGTGAGTTTCCTTTCCATTTTGTTGGTTGTTTCTTTTGCTGTGCAGAAGATTTTTAGCTTGATGTAGATTATACACCACGATCAAGTAGGATTTATCCCAGGGATGCAAGGATAGTGCAGTATTCACAAATCAATAAATGTGATACATCACATAAACAAAATGAAAGATAAAAATCATGTGATCATATCAGTAGATGCTGAAAAAGCATTTAACAAAATCCAGCATTCATTTTTCATAAAAACTCTCAGCAGGGTGGGAATAGAAGGATCATATCTCAGCATAATAAAGGCCATTTATGACAAACCTATAGCCAACAACATACTCAATGGGCAAAAATTAAAAGCATTTCCCGTAAGAACAGGAACAAGACAGGGATGTCCATTTTCACTGCTCTTATTTAACATAGTGTTGGTAGTCTTAGCCACAGTAATCAGACAAGAAAAAATAAAAGGGATCCAAACTGGAAAGGAAAAAGTGAAACTGTCATTATTCACAGATGACATGATATTGTACATAGAAAACCCTAAAGATTCCATCAAAAAACTACTAGATTTAATAATTGAATTTGGAAAAGTAGCAGGATACAAAATCAACATCCAGGAATCATTGACATTTTTATAAACCAATAATGAACACACAGAGAAACTTAAAAAACATTCCTTTTACAATTGCAACAAAAAAATTAGATACCTAGGAATAAACTTAACCAAAGAAGTAAAGGACCTGTTCACAGAAAACTATAGGACATTGAACAGATCTAGAACAAATACTTCAAAAGTTTATAGGGAACCAGAAAAGAGCCCGAATAGCCACAGCAATCTTGAAAAAGAAGAACAAAGTAGGAGGGATCACCATACCAGATATCAATTTATACTACAAAACCATTGTAATCAAAACAGCTTGATACTGGCACAAGAACAGGCAGATAAATCAATAAACAGAACAGAGAGCCCAGAAATTGACCCAAGACATTATGCTCAATTAATATTTGATAAAGGTGGCAAGTGCATACAATGGAGTAAAACAGCCTCTTTAATAAATGGTACTGGGAGAATTGGACAGCTACATGCAAAAAAATGAAACTAGACCACCACCTTACACCATACACAAGAATAAACTCAAAATGGATAAAAGACTTAAATGTGACTCACGAATCCATAAAAATCCTAGAAGAAAATGTAGGCAACAAAATTTTAGACATCACATATGGCAGAATTTTCACTGATACAACGCCTAAGGCAACAGAAACAAAGGGAAAATAATTAATACATGTAGGTGATATCTTAACATTGGAATGTGGACTAACGAGGTGCCTGGCTCAATTCTTATTGACTAAATGTTATAGTAAAGATAAGTATCTTACACTTTCCACTCTAGAGCACTGACTATTTGATCAGCTAACGTCACTGCTTGTTTACGTTAAGATAGATGTTACTTGCTGAAATGGTGCTTAATCTGTAAGGCTCACACTAGTTAACGCTGTCCCTGACAGCCCATCCCTGGGTCATCTCTCTCAGCATTGTACTGGGGTCATTTGTTTTCTTATCCAAGTCCTCTAGTTGGCCACACACTCTTTAAGGACAGGTAGGAAGTTGTAGTCATCTTTGTTATCCCCACTGTTTGCACAATTCCTGGCTCTGTCTTGAGCAAGAAACGGAGGTAAATAATCATTGTACCATGATTTGGTAAGTACTGTGGACTACCTGGAATCAGAATGGCTGGATTGTCTTAATTCCTTTTGCTCTTCAGAAGTAGTGTTTCTAACCTTTTATACTGATGGTCCAAATTTAGGACAAGACTAACTTACATAGCTGTATTTAACTCCCCATTTAACATGGGTTTTAACCCTTTTTTTTTGAGCTGTAGCATGCTGTTGAAACCATGGACCTCCTCTCAGAATATTGTTTTTAAATGCATTATATAAAATAGACTTAAAAGAGAAACCAGTAATATTGAAATAAATTTACAAAATATTTTTAAACTATTAGAGACTGTTAAGTGATTTAGATAGAACGTCCTTCTAAAGATGTTCTCTTTTTTCATACCTTGCTTTCAAGTAAAGTGCATCTGTTTATAGATCTTTAAGACTGCTCTGAGTTTTTAAACTTTAAATTTTTATTTAAATTTAATTTAATTTATTTAAACAACAACAACAAAAAACCAACCCAGTTCACCCATATCTTCTATCCCCTTTGATTTTTACTTTTTTATTTTTTTAGATTCCATATCTAAGAGAAATTATATGGTAATTGTCTTACTCTGACTTATTTACCTAGCAAAATGCCCTCAAGGAATTTGTTGTCAATAGCTGAGTGATAGTCCATGTTATAGAAATACCACATTTTCTTCTTTTTAAAAAAATATTTTTTTATTGAATTTTTTGTAGAGAGAGATAGAAACATCAGTGTGAAAGAGAAACACAGATCAGCTGCCTCCTGCATGCCTCCTACTGGGTGTCGAGCCTGAAATCTGGGCATGTGCCCTGACCGGGAATCAAACCGGGATCTCTCAGTCCATGGGATGGCGCTTAATCCACTGAGCCACACGAGCCAGGCACACTGCATTGTCTTTATCCATTTATTCATGGATGGACACTTGGTTTGTTTCATATCTTGGCTATTGTGAATAATGCTATGGTGAACATGCATATATGTTTTCAAAAGAGTCTTTTAATTTTCTTCAGATAAGTGCCCAGAAGTGGAATTGCTGGGTCATATGATTGTTTTATGTTTCATTTTTTTAGGAACCTCTATACTGTTTATTATATTGGCTGTACCAATTTACATTTCCACTAGCAGTGCACAAGGGTTCCCTTTTCTCCACATTCTTTCCAACATTGTTTCTGATTTTTTGATAATAGCCATTCTAACAGGTGTGAGATGATATCTCATTGTGGTTTTGATTTGCATTTCCCTGATGATTAATGATGTAGAAATCTTTTTATGTACCTGTTGGCCACCTTTATGTCTTTTAGGAAAAATGTCTATTCAGATCTTCTGCCCATTTTCTTTTATTGATCTTTAGAGAGAGAGGAAGGGAGAGGGAGAGAGAGAGAGAGAGAGAAACATTGAAGAGAGAGAACATCGATTGGCTGCCTCCAGCATGCCCACCGCCTGGGGACCTGGCCCACAACCTGGGCATGTGCCCTGACCAGGAATTGAACCAGCGACCTTTTGGTGCATGGGTCCATGCTCAACCACTGGTACCCACCGGCCAGGCTCTTCTGCTCATTTTTTTTTTTTTTTTAATCCTTACCTGAGGACATTTTTCCATTTTTTGTTCAGATGGAGTGGGAGGGAGAGAGAAACATCGACGTGAAAGGGACACATTCAGTGGCTGCCACCCACACAACCCAAACAGGTCCAGGGACAAACTGCAACTGAGGTACACGCTCTTAGCGGGAACCGAACCCAGGTCTCTCTGGACCGCAGGCCGACGCTCAAACCACTGAGCCAAACTGGCCAGGGCTTCTGCTCATTTTTAAATCAGATTGTTTTGCTATTGAGTTGTGTGAGTTCTTGATATATTTTGGATATTAGTCTCTTATCAAACCTATGATTTGCATTATTTTCTCCCATTTAGTAGTTTGCCTTTTCATTTTGTTGATGATTTCTTTTTCTGTGCAGAACTTTTCAGTTTGATATAGTACTACTTGTTTGTTTTTATTGTTTTATTTTAATCTTTTTTTTTGCTTTTATTGCTTTGCCGTTTGGTGTCAGATTTTAAAAATCATCAATAATAAAAAATTATCAATAATACCTATGTCTAGGAGCTTACCACCTATGTTTTCTTCTAGGAGTTTTATGGTTTCAGGTCTTATGTTCAAATCTTTAATTTATCTTGAGTTAGTTTTTGTGTGTGGTGTAAAATAGTTTCATTCTTTTGCATGTGGCTGTCCAATTTTCCCAACACCATTTATTGAAGAGACTGTTCTTTTCCCATTGAATTCTTGGCTCCTTTTTTGTGAATTAATTGACCATATATTTATGGGTTTATTTCTGGGTTCTTTATTCTGTTCCATTGATCTATGTGTTTCTTTATGCCGATACCATACTGTTAATTACAGGGAGTGTGATGTCTCTAGCCTTCTTCTTTCCCAAGATTGCTTTGGCTATTTGGGGTCTTCCAAGGTTACATATAGATTTTAGGATTATTTGTTCTAGTTCTGTGAAAAATACTTTGGAATTTTGATAGAGATTGCATTTGAATTGTAGATTGTTTTGGGTAGTGTGGACATTTTAACAATATTAATTCTTTTAACTCATGAGTATTTGATATGTTCCATCTGTTTGTGTCTTCTTCAGCTTCCTTCGTTAAAGTCTTCTAGTTTTCAATATACAGGACTCTCACCTCCTTGGTTAAATTCACTTTGAAGTATTTTATTCATTTTGATGCTATCATAAGTGGAAATTTTTCTTAATTTCTCTTTCTTATAGTTCATTATTAGTATGTAAAAAATGCAACAGATTTTGTATATTCATTTTGTATCCTGTAACTTTATCAAAATTGTTTATTAGTTCCAACAGTTTTTTGATAGAGTCTTCAGAATTTTCTATACATAATATCATTTAATCTTCAAAGAGGGACAGTTTTATCTCTTCCTTTCCAATTTGGTTGCCCTTTATTTCTTTCTCTTGCCTCATTTCTCTGGCTAGAACAGCTAATACTGTGTTGAATAAAAGCGTGTAAGAGTGGACACCCTTGTCTTGTTCCTGATCTTAGAGGGAAAGCTTTTTACTATGGAGTGTAATTTGAGCTGTGGGTTTGTAATATATGGCCTTTATTATAAAATCTTTAAGATTTCTCTGAATTGTTTTTTTAAATACTTCTTTTGTATTTACAGTGTTAGGTTTTTCATCTCCTTGGAGTTTTATGTAATTTAAATAACTTTCTAAAGAATGCAAGGAACCAGCCAGTGTGGCTCAGTGGTTGCACCAGGAGGTCACAAGTTTTATTCTTGGTCAGGTCACATGCCCAGGTTGTGGGCCAAATCCCCAGTCAGGGGCGTGCAGGAGGCGGCCAATCAATGTTCTCTCTCATCGATGTTTCTATCTCTTCTCTCCTTTCCTCTCGCTCTAAAAATCAATAAAGAAAAAATAATTAAAAATAAAATAAAGTACGCAAAGATACCTGGTTCAGAATGTTGGGTTCAGAGAAAGTTATTATTCTGCTAATTATTTAATGTTCCTTCGTTTAACAAATGCACACTGAGCATCAGCTGTGGTGCCAGAAATGGCCCTAGGCGCTGGGCCTTTGAATGTTTCATGCAGAAGTCAAGAAAGGAATTGTAAAAAATGCCTGTGGGGGTAAATCAATTATAACATATTCTCAGTTATTTACAATGGTTAATATGGGTTCACTGGATTCTCATTTGTTGTAGCGAGCACGGATAATTTTGATTGTACTTTAAAATGCATTTTTTGTCAACTTATGTTAATTATTTTTACTGTTAACATAATTATATAATGAAAATATAGCATGTATATTATGTATGACATTGCAAACTCTTCTCTTTTTGCTATTTTTATTTTATTCATTTATTATTTTTGTTAATCCTCACCCAAGGATATTTTTCCATTGATTTTTTTAGATAGAGTGGAAGGTCAGGGGGGAGGAGATAAATTTTGATATGAGAGAGACACATTGATTGGTTGCTTCCCGCACAACCCCGATGGGAGTAGGGCTTGAACCTGCAACCCCAGTATGTGCCCTTGACTGGGAACTGAACCTGCAATTCTTCGTTGCTTGGGCTGATGCTCTAACCACAGAGGTAGACTGGCCAGGACCGAGCTCTTCCCTTTTTAAACAAAAGCTTAAGCCTTCTATTCAGTAAGAATTTGTTTATGGCATGTATAATTGAAATTTTTTTCTTATTTAAGTGGTAATTTAATTTTCATGTTAGTAATTACTTAGAAAGCATGGAGTATGACACTTCTTGACATATATATATATATATTTCTTGTTTGTTTGTTTTGGTTCTGACTACCTAAAAACTTAGTTTTGAGTTTAACCAGTCACGAGTTAGTTACAGAGCACCGGCAAAATAACAGGAGTTGTGAGAGGTGCTAGGTGAGCTGGTTAGGATCCAAGGCCCACCCTCATAGCAGCCACTTTCAAAGCAATGCTTAAAATTAATACAGTGATGATCATAATTGAGAATATCATAACTGACCTGAACAAAAAAACTCAAGAAACGTACTGCATGATTTTGGTTGAAAGAACAGGTAAAACCTTTTTTTGTTTAGTTTGGTTTTCTGTAAAACCTTCTGATTTAGTTATTTACACTTTAAAATTTTTGGAGAGTATTATGCTAAGTGAAATAAGCCAAATCAGAGAAAGACAAATATCACATGATCTCACTTATTTGCGAAATATAATGAACAAAATAAGCTGATGAACAAAATAGACCCAGAGACATAGAAGTAGGGATCAGACTGACAATCCTCAGAGAAAGGGGAGAAGGGCAGGAAGAGATCGACCAAAGAACTTTTATGCATATATGCATAATCAGTGAACATAGACAACAATACTGTTAAGGTTCGGGGACGGGAGCCGGGAAGAGCGTGTCAATGGGGGGAAAAGGAGAAACATCTGTAATAAAAATTAATTAATTAATAAGAATATCAAATAATACAAAAGTAATGTTAGGGATATATTTACAGGAAAACAAACATTACCAACACACTTTGCGTCATCTTCCTTTGTCTTTGGTAAGCTAGTGTCTTCCAAACTAGTGATTTTGCTTTTTTATCTAACTTCTAAGTTTTTTACCTTGCAGTGTGATGGACAGTATATTCCTCTCCCCAGTCTGCAAGGAATAGCTGTATTGAACATTCCCAGCTATGCCGGAGGCACTAACTTTTGGGGTGGAACTAAAGAGGACGATGTAAGTATTTCCTTGCTTTCCAGAGTCTAGAGCTGCCCACATTCCTTGGCTTGCGGCTTCTTCCTATCTTCAGAGACAACAGCAACTTAAGTCTTTCTCATGCTGCATCTTTCTGATCTCCTCATCTGTCTCCCTCTTCTAGTTTTTTTTTTTTTTTTTTAATCCTCACCAGAAGATATTTTTCTATTTATCTTCAGGTAGAGTGGGAGAGAGAGAGAGACATCGACATTAGAGGGACGCATTGACTGGTTTCCTCCCGCATGACCCTGACCAGGGCCAAGGATGAACCACAACGGAGGTATGTGCCCTTGGCCGGAATCGAACCCGAGACTCATTGGTCCATGGGATGACGCAACTGCTGAGTCAGACCAGCCAGGGCATCCTCTTCTACTTTCAATGACCTTTGTAATTACAATGGGCTCACCCATGTCATCCAGGATAATCTGCATAGTCTCTTTTGCCATGTGATGTACCTTTCACATGTTCCAGGATTTAAGACATTTTTGGGGTAGGAGGAGGTGGCATTATTCTACCTACCAAAATACCTTTCTGTACTTTTAGTTTTCTAAATTTATGTGATACTATCTTTTTTGTTTTTAGAAATGTCAACAGGGTTCATTTGGTTATTGAGGTTGAGTGCTATTTTTGTTTTCTTTTTTTCATAGTTTTCTATATTGAAAAAAGAAAAAAGATACAACCTAACAACGATAATTGTACTAAAAATAACTTTAAAAAAGAGAGGGTACAATTATTAAAGTATATTTAACATAAAAATAAGAAGTGTTATCGCGATCTTGGTTTGAAGAGTCATGTATATTCAGTGATAGGCCCTCTGCTTTGAGGCGTATGATACAACATTCCCTGACCTGTTTTCTCAGAGCTGTTAAATAAGCAGGCGGGAATTAAAGTATGCAATAAATTGGAAAGTATTTGTAATTTTTATGATAGGAATATATTCCCATCCTATTGAAGTATACAAACTAACATTAGTCAGTTTATCGTTAGCCTGTCACTCCTCTTAAATGATTGAAAGAGAAGCCCAGCTGGTGTGACTCAGTGGCTGAGCGTCGACCCATGCACCAAGAGGTCACCAGTTCGATTACCAGTCAGGGCACATGCCCAGGTTGTGGGCCAGGTCCCCAGTGGGAGGCATTATAGGAGGCAGCCAATCGATGTTCTCTCTCATCGATGTTTCTCTTTCTCTCCCCCTCACTTGCTCTCTCTAAAAAAATAAAGAAAGAAAAAAAAATGTTTGAAAGGGAAGAGATCAGTGAGATTAAGGTGGATAAAACTAACATTTTTTTAACACCTTCCAAGTAGACAGTGTTCTGAATGCTACACATTTATTATTTAATACCTACAATTTTCATCTAAATTTTGTCAGTGAAGAAACTAACACTAAGTTTACACAGTTAATAAGCATCAGAGACAGGGTTTAAAACTTGACAGTCTGATTACAAAAATGATGATATCAGTGTTTGCAAATTTGTGTCCTGATAGTTTCAGTGAAAGTTTTCATTAGGATACTGTTTTATACTGAACATTTTTTTCAGAGGCATAATTATGATATAGTAAAAGAAAGAGTAAAAGGGACATAGTAATTCAGGTGAAATTGAAATTTTTAAGTTAAATTGATTTTGTGAAAATACAGTTAACATCAAAGCAAAGTAAGCTCCATGATTTTTATCCCCTGAATTTTCTATGTCCATATTCTCAAATGCCCTAAAAAAATGGTTGTATATAGATATAAAGCTCATATATGGCATACATGTTTGTAACATCTTGAAAGATCTGCCTTTAAGCATACCAACTGAGCTAGATCATAATCTGCATGTTCATTTGCTTCAACCTTGTGAAATCTATATCACCTTTCAGGATTTTTTATGTTTCTTAAAATTGTATGCATCATTTTGTCAAGACATCTGAGTTACGTATGAACAGATGTTTAATACGTTTTTTACCAAGATGAATTATGAGAGGGATGAGTATTTTTATGTCATGTGGGTCTTAAAACTGTATTATGTTTGTTTTAAGCCATCTTCAGTGATATTTTTGTCCTTGGGTTATCACTTCCTGCTAATATTTACTTACTTATCTGCCTAGTATTTTTATGATTTTTAAAAACGCTGTGTATTACAGAGTCTGCTTTGCTTGCTGTGCCACTTCACTTAAACCTCAATTTTATGGGTGGAAGTGTAATGTACTCTTTCCTTTCAGATATTTGCTGCACCATCATTTGATGACAAGATCCTGGAAGTTGTTGCAATATTTGACAGCGTGCAAATGGCAGTTTCAAGGGTCATTAAACTACAGCATCATCGAATAGCCCAGGTTTGTTTTTCTCGTCTAACCTGGCTTCACTACCTGGGACACTGGGGAAGCTATTTCAGATGACTCCTACCCTGTATATTCATCTATAAAATACTGACTTTCTTGTTATGTTAGTTATTACTATGTCATCATAAGTGGAAAGCGTAACATCAGTTCCATAGTATGGACTGAAGGGCCAAGCTTGAATGCAGACTGTGTCAGTTTCTCAGGATGCTTTCTATTCTAAAATGATTTGTTTTATTTCAGTGCCGCACAGTAAAAATCACTATATTCGGTGATGAGGGAGTCCCCGTGCAGGTGGATGGCGAAGCATGGGTTCAGCCTCCAGGGATCATCAAAATTGTGCACAAAAACAGAGCTCAGATGCTCACAAGGGACCGGGTATGTAACCAACAACATTCTTCTAGAATTTTATGAAGCCTTCTAAAAAAATCTTAAATTTTCATAAAAAATTAGAAATCAAGGGAAAATATATAAATTGTCTTTTAAATCTGATATTTAAGTCATTGTGGTTTTAAATATGAACAAATGTTTTAGTTTTTAAAGAAAAATGAATAGAGTTTATTTTTTTAGGTGCACAGAAAAATTGAACAGAAAGTGTAGAGAAATCTAATTCTGTTCACATACCTCATCACTTTGACAAGCACATAAATTCCCCAATTAGTAGCATCTTGTATTAGCACACTTATTACAGTTGTTGTGCCAATACTGATACCTGATGATTAACTCAATCCATAGTTTACACTACTGTTTGCTGTTCATTCCGAGGGCTTTGACCAATGTGCAGTCACTACCTCCTTGCTCTCCACCTAGCCCTGCCTCCCCCTCTGTCCCAGCCCTGGCAGCCACCTATCTTTACACTCTATCTGTAGTTTTGCCTTTTCCAGAATATGCGTGTTTAATTAATATCACACACATAACAAATAAGACTGCCAGTGTTTATCCTATTATACATATGATAGCAAAGACTGAAGCTGTCTCCTTTTCACATTTTAGCACTATGTAATTCGTCACTATTGATTACATTACCTTTTTATTTATTGTGATATGCTAGAAAACAAAGTGTGTTTTTTGTACTTATGAATTATTTAATGTGTTAGATTAGGGAAAAAAGCAACAGAAGTTTCAAAGTTGTTCATATATCTACATACACATTTATTTGGGCCTCAGAGTTCTAAACCAACAGTTCATTGTAATATTGATTTTAAATAGGCCTTCGAAAGCACTCTAAAATCTTGGGAAGATAAACAGAAGTGTGATTCCGGTAAACCAGTTCTTCGAACCCACTTGTACATCCAACATGCTGTTGACTTGGCAACGGAGGAGGTGTCGCAGATGCAGCTGTGCTCCCAGGCTGCGGAGGAGCTCATTACGAGGTGTGGGGGTCCTGCTGGCTTTTGGGCTATGAAAACTGGTCTTGGCAAATTTTGTTTTATTAATTTTAATGCATCATATGTTTGGGGCACCTAAAGGAGATGCATTAACTCTCATCTGCTGCCTCAGCGCTTGCTGCTGTCCTTCAGCAGATCCCTCCAGCACCTGCGCTCGCACCTGTGTGCGCTCCAGGACGCATCTGGACTCTGGCAGCACGTGGAGAGCTTGCCTGGTGTGCCCCGCCACATGGTATTTTTCTGCCACTGTGGATTTCCCCAGTTTATATGCAGTCTCTACTGACGTATTTATTGCCTTATAATCGATTATTAATTAAATGTTGATAGAATGTAGAACAGTGGTTCTCAACCTTCCTAATGCCGTGACCCTTTAATACCGTTCCTCATGTTGTATGTGGGCGTATCTGCACGTGGGCAGACCCGCCTGGAGACGGATAGAGGAGCGGTGTCTCAGTTCCTAAGACCATGGGAAATATGTGTTTTCCCATGGTCTTAGGCGACCCCTGTGAAAGGGTCGTTTGACCCCCAAAGGGGCCGTGACCCACAGGTTGAGAACTGCCGGTGTAGAAGGAAATACAAATATTGCTCCCAAGGAGAGTCGGAGGGTGGAAGAGATAGGAAGAGTCCAAGAATCCGTTTCAAACAGACATACCCTGAAATTGGGAGACCACACAGAAATTAATTTTAGTAGACAGAAAGGGAAGAGATAAAAATAACAAGTTCTATGAGTGTAAAACAGATAAAAATCACTATGACCAGCAGTAACCTTCAGAAGGAGGAGGGACCATGGACAGTGGGGATAATTAAAAGTCTCTTTCCCAGGTCACTGTGATTGTTAATGAGACCCACTATGTACAGGGCTTATTAACACATCATTTCTGGCACATTTTGTGTTCTCTGAATGGTAGCTGTTATAGCCTTCCCACACCTTCCTCTGGTCATTGATTAAAATGTTGAAAAAGAAAAGAAGGAAAACAAAGTTCGGTACTAGGGGCTCCCTTTCCCTCCCTCCCACCCCCTGTCTGTTCCCCCCTCATTCCTCATTCTCCTCTTTAAATATTAGTTAGATGCCTAGAGTGTACTAGATGTTAGAGATGCTAAAAATAGATACATACTCCCTGTTGCTGGAGACCAACGTTCAAAATTAGAATAAAGTATGGTAACTGCCAGATACTGAGTAGTTTAGAAAAAATATAGGGAAAATGAATATTTAGTCAGCTAAACTCACATAACTACATTGTTGTACATCTTAGCTTCCTAGCCACAAACATATTTATTTTAGAGTAAATACTTCTCTTTTTAGATTCTATAGACAATGTCTGTGGACTCCAGTTTACAGCCCACTCCCAATTTATTGAGGTATAATTAACATAAAAATTAAATATATATTTCTTATTATTTTTTCCTTTTCACCTTTTTTAACATGTATCTTTATTGTTGAAGTATTACAGATGTTCCCCTTTTTCCCCCCACTGACCTCCTCCTCCCCCACCCTGCCCCTGCCTTCCCCACACTATTGTCTGTGACTATTGATTATCTCTTCCAAAACCATTATATATATTTAAGGTATACAATGTGATAATTTGATATATGTAATACACTGTGAAATGGTTACCACAATCAAGCTAATTAATACATTATGGAAAACAGGATGGAGGTTCCTAAAAAAATTAAAAATAGAACTACATCATTTTCTTAAAACCAAAATATGCTCCCTTGAAACCAAAATATACTTCCTATATTATCATCCTGTCAACTAACCAAATAACCTTACTAAAAAAGGAAGTACAGCCCTGGCTGGTTTGGCTCAGCGATTAGAGTGTCAGCCCACGGACCAATGAGTTGCAGGTTCGATTCCAGTCAAGGGCATGTACCTCAGTTGCGGTTCATCCCCGGCCCACCGGGGTCCTTGTGGGAGGCAACACGTCAATGTCTCTCTCTCTCTCTCTCTCCCTTCTATCCGAAGATAAATAGAAAAATATCCTTGGATGAGGATTAAACAAAAAAAGGAAGTATAGGTTGGCCAGGCGTGTTTTTGATCAACTTAATTTGGTTTCCCATCTGTTTTTTAAAATTTTGCAAAAAGTGAAAATCAGGCTCACTCATCTGTTTTCAGAATTTATTCATTCAATAGTCAACAAATATTTTGAGCCTCTTCTGGGTGGTCACCAGGTTAGTCACTGGGAATGCCCAGGTGACTGTCGCAGTCCCTCTTAATTTGCTGGCAGAGCAGTAGAAGGGGAAGTGTGCTGAAGTGTCACACTGGTCACACAGAGGAGGCCCTGAGGGAGGCTGCCTGAAGGAAGTGACCACTCACCCGGGTCTCCACAGAAGAGGAAGAGAAGAGTAAGCTAAGCCGGGAGCCAGCCTGGGCAAAGTCCCAGAGAGGTATGAGTGCCTGGTGCTTTCAGGAAACCTCAGGGAGTTTGGGGAGCTGAGAAGGGGTCAGATCTTTTTCAGGGCATTTCTGGAAGCAACATGGAGCATTTTTGTCTGCAGGATAGCAAAACTGAGGCAGGGTGAACGCTGTCAGAATGGTCCTTGCTTAGGAAACGAGGGATTGAGGCAGGGGAGATGGACAGGCATAGAGAGATTTAAGATAGGTTAGGATCTAAAAGTGATATATGAGTGTGAATTAGGAGACAGAATGACTCTAAGGTTTCTAGGGAAAGAGTGGATGGATTGTGTTGCCTTTGATAAAGCCATAGTATTCAGGAAGAGGAGCCGATTTTGATAGGTGGGTTCCATGTTAGACACTGAGAATTTCAACTACATTAGGAATATCTAGGAGGAGATTCAGTTAGCAGTTGGGAAAGTTGATCTGAAGTTACCTCTTTCTCTTTGAAAATCAGAGTAACATTTACCCATCTCTATTCTAATAAACAACCTGTTGTTCATGATTTCTCAAGGTTATTGGTAAGAATGCTGAGGTGACATTTGCAAGTTTCTTTAGGCCTTGAGTATCGATTGTATGATCCTAAGGATTAAACTCTTTCCCTTTACTCTTGATTCAACTGTGTAGGACTTCTGTCTCTTTCTTTGTTCTACTCTTTACAGATTGAGGATCATTCTCCTTGAAGATGTAAGAAGCAAAAAGGGTTTGAATAGTCTTGCTTTCTTGCTCATCTGCAAACATTGCACCACTTTTTAGCAGTTGGAACTTTTCTTCTAGTCTGTTCTTTGGCCTTGGTGCCCTCCGAGATTTTATCTTTCTAGGACTATTCTTGAAGGTTTCAATTCCAGAGAATGGTGGTACAACAGTCTTTGGAATTGGACAGACATAGATTCAAGTCCCGATTCTATCACTTATTAGCTTTGTATTCATACTAAATCTCTCTGACCCTCAGTGTTTTCATAAAGTGGAGAAAATTAATCACAGCTACCTTTTCACTTGTGAATATTAAATGAAATCATTAAAGCACATAGCATATAGATAATAAATATGGCAATTATCTTCCCCTAATCTGTTGTTTTTGTTCCCGGTTGAAGTTTCAATGAATAAAAGATAAGTTTCTACTCTCTACATTAGGGACCTCTCTCACTTGCCAATGATGTAGTAGATTGTGCAGAAATACTGTACAATGATACTTCAATATAGTTGTCTCTGATTCTGAGCCTAACTTTTATGTAAAAATTTTTGGTTTTAGTATTCTTTGTGGCAAAGGGGTTTGGATTTTGTAAATCTACTCTGTGCCATTCATAATTGAATAGTCTTTTTTCTTCTTCTAATTTCCTTAATAACCTTCATTAGTTTTTTTTTTTTTTTTTAACCTTGTTTTAATATGCCACTTCCATGCTTCAGAAAAATCAGCAATGCTCAAAAATGTTTTTTGTTCATTTGTTTTATTTTTGCTTTCAGGATTTGTGATGCAGCCACGATCCACTGTCTTTTGGAGCAAGAACTGGCCCACGCTGTGAATGCTTGCTCCCATGCCCTGAATAAAGCCAACCCTCGCTTCCCAGAGGTGAGGAGCTAATGGTAAATTCTCATTCCACAGAATTTTTTTTTTTGGTGATACATATATATTTTTATACTATAAAATGTGTCATGCCCTTTGAAAGAACATTATGTAGTTTGTATGAATCTTTGCCGAAGCTTGTGGTAAATTTGTGGCCAAATTTTCTTTATTTTCTTATTCCTGCCATTTTCCCATTCCAGTTCTTACATTCTTTTCATAGTTTCTATTTCACTTCCCATCACTTGTCACCTTGCAGTCTTCCTGCTGCTCTTTGTCCCTTTAGCTATTACCATTCCTCCTTACTTTCTTTTTTATTTTAATTTTAAATTTTAATATGTTTTTATTGATTCATAGAACAAGAGAAGGGGGGAGGGAGAGAGAGAAAGAGAGAGAGAGAGAGAGAAACATCGATTCAAGAGAGAAACATCGATCGGCTGCCTTCTACACACCCCCTACCAGGGATCAAACCCGAAACTGGGCATGTGCCCTGACTGGGAATCCGGCCAGCAACCTTTCGGTGCACAGGATGATGCCCAACCAAGTGAGCCACACTGGTCAGGGCTTAGTTCCTCTTCACCTAGTCCCCTGCACCTAGATAGAGAGCAAACCTAGATATCGTGTATTTTATTAAAGATGTTCATTCATTTTAGAAGTTGTGCACTGAAATTATGTTTACTTTATTTTGTTTTACTAAATTAGTAAATTTTTAATGTAGAAATTAAAATATTTTAACTTCTGTTGTTTTTTTTTCCAGTTTTTAAATGTAGATATTAATAATAGAATGGATATAATTCCCTTGAAGTGTGATGTATTATAAAAGACTATAGTGTATAGAGAATGGATAGCATTATTTTATTATTTAAATTATTCAGTTATTCATTTGAAGTTAATATAAAAATAAGTGCTAGTCCTTCAGGTTGAAGTCTAGAAAGCAATCTGATTGGAACTACTGAGAGTGAATGTCATGGGTGGAACTAATTATGATCAGATGATACCCCTTTATTTTTATTTTTTTGAAAATTATTCCATCACTTATATACGGAATATAATGAACATAACAGTCTGAGGAATACAGTAGACCCAGACACATGGAAGTAAGGCACAGACTGACATCCCTCAGAAGAGGGGATGGGGGGTGGGGGGGTGGGAAGAGATAAACCACAGAACTTATATGCATGTATGCATGACCAATGGACATGGACAAATAAGCTGGGGACAGGGTGGAAGGGGGGTGGGGTGGGGGGTGCCAATGGGGTAAAAAGGTAAAATATCTGTAACAAAAAAATAAATAAAAATTCATAAAAAAAAAAAAAAGAAAAGAAAATTATTCCATGTAATTTAAAAGCAACGACTTTTTATTTTTATTTATTTATTTTTTTGGTACGTGCCCCTAGCGGGAAACGAACCCAGGACTCTCTGGTCCTCAAGCCGATGCTCCAACTGCTAAGCCAAACTGGCCAGGGTAGATAATACCCCTTTTTTTTAATCCTCACCTGAGGACATTCTTCCATTTTTTTTGTTGTTGTTCAGATATAGTGGGAGGGAGAGAGGGGAAGAGAGAGAGAGAAACATCGACGTTAAAGGGACACATCGAGTGTCTGCCACCTGCACGACCAACCAGGGCTGGGGACAAACTGCAACTGAGGTACGCGCCCTTAGCGGGAATCGAACCCGGGTCTCTCTGGACCGCAGGCTGATGCTCTAACCACTGAGCAAAACCGGCCAGGGAGATAATACCCCTTTAAAACATGATTTTCTCTGACTTAACTTTTTTAAGGAAATATATATACATTGTTGCCAGCATATACATATTTTTACATAGGAGACGTGGTCCCAAGCGTATTCATTAAAGTAGGTACATACAAGAATTAGAAGAATAATTATGCTAATAAACATGGCTGTGACATTGTATGATTATAATAGAATTTTGGTAGCTTTTAAAAAATACTTGTGATGTAAATTTAAATTGGGAGAATAAAATTGAAAGTATTTGCCGATAATTAAATTCCAATTTAATACAGAACTGCTTGTGTTTGATTTCCCCACCAGGGTCTTACGAGAGACACTGCCACTGAAATAGCCATGAATGTGAAGGCGCTGTATAATGAAACGGAATCTTTACTGGTTGGCAGAGTTCCTTTGGTAAGGAAGAGGAATGACTGATCACAAGAATGATGATAAATGTGTGGGTCTTACCTTCACTAGGGAGCATGCATTTATCAGATTCTAATGCAAAAGCAGCCTTCTGGCCTCCATCCTTAGAATTTCCTTTTTACCTAGCTTTTGCCTTCCAGAGGATACAGGGCTAAACCTGGGAGTTAGGAATCCGGCTCACGAGATTCGCCCTCACATATGCCAGCGTGCTTCTGTGCCGTCCTGCTCTCCCGATCAGTCATGAGAGACAAGTATTAAAGTGGGCAGTCCGTCGTTCCCCAGGTGTCATGAACTCATTGTTGCAGAAAAGTAGAGGAAATCATAGATTTGTTCTCAAAATTAATATTAAAATATAATTAGTATAGTTTTCTAGATTCACTTAAATGACAGCATTTTCTAGACCCAGTGTTTCAAAAGCTAAATCTCAAGAACTAGACATATTCCTAGAGTAACCCACACTGGTGCTGGACATCACGTTAGGCCAAATCTGAATCTGACGACAGTTCACTGACCTCAAGCATAAGTGCTGGAAGACCTTAGGTGTCCTGTCTGGTTCGCCCAGAATCCTTGCCTTGTCAGCCTTTGTTTCCTCACCATTTAAAAATGTTCTAGCATGTTGGGTCTTTTCACCACCTAGTGTTCGATTGTGGGTCATTCACACATGCTGTTCTAACTGTGTAGAAAGCCTAATTCTGAGTAATTGATAGGTGATGATCTTAAAATATTTCTCCTGACTGTAATGTTCTCTCTTGTCTTGGAAAATATACACTTAATTAAAAGTGCAAGTAAAAGTCATAGTGTCTGGCACGGTGGGAAAACGGGAGGTGTGTCACATAGCCTAGCTAACTGACACGTGACTGTAGTTGGAATTCCTGTTTGACTGGGGTCCAGAAGAGTGATGCCCACAGAGCACCCTTTACTCTGAGAAGAGAAGCTAAAAGGCTGCAGTAGTCCATTGCTCTCGCCTACTTCCAGAGGAGACAAACGAATGTAGCTTCCTCAAGGCAAGAGTTGGCTGCCTCTGCTATGGCCATGAAGGAGAACTTTTAGGAAGAAACATTGGTTATATCTTTTGCTAAAACCAGTGGGAATCTTCTTGGCTATTTTTAGTGCTTCTATTATTAACCAGAATCTTCTTGCTGCTCTTCTAAAATTAGTCTATAGGAAATCCAGTGAGCTGCAACTTTGGTCCCAATATATGGATGGAGGACATGTATTTTTTATGTTATTTGAAGTACAGTTAAGGTAATTTCTAATTGATAAGAATCAGAAGCATAACTTATTCTGTATTTTAGTTCTCTACACCGAATGTATTCATTGAGTGTTATTTGGTTAATATTTATCAATTATATCACTTTAATATAGAAGGATGCCCCTCACTTTCAATTCTTCTATCATTGTCAAAAATGGATGTTTGGTTTAAAATGTATAGCACTAAATTTTATCAAATTTACCTTAGACAATGTTGATATCACAATGAAGATTCTGTCATATGTGAGAGCAACTAAGGCTTACTCTCTATTTTGATTCTTCAATGAATGTACAATCACTATATTATCAATTTTATAAAAGATACATTCTTAGACTAAAAGGAAAGTGGTAAATTTTATGTGACAGGATGGAGAATCTCCATATTTTTATTTTATTTTATTTTTTGAGAGAGAAACATTGATTTGTTATTCCACTTATTTATGTATTCATTGATTGATTCTTGTATGTGCCCTCACAGGGGATTGAACCTAAAACCTTGGTATATCAGGACGATACTCTAACCAACTGAGCTACCTAGCCAGGGCCCTCCATCTTTTTATTAATTACTAGAAACGATAGACCTTAAATAACGGAGGGGGGACAATAATGTTCGTAATAAATAACAGTAGCATTCTTTCTGAACTTCCAGATTAAAATTTGGTGAACCTATATGTAGTACTCTACAATTTTAAAGTAATTTATAAAAGTACTGATTAGCTGGAAGAGATCTTAGAAATAATCTAGTCATATTCTACTGTTTATTGAGAAGGCAACTAAGACTCCTGAAGGCAATTAACCTTCCCTTGGTTGCAAAGTTAGTAACAAGTCCAGGACTAGAAATCAGTCACCTCCCTTCCAGTTCTACACATAACAGTGTTTATTTCACCTTTATTCATTTATTGAATTTATAAGTGTTTTCTAATAATAACTGCTTCAAATAGGTGGATAATTGGGGACTGGTTAAATTCTTTTTGAAGTTTCCAAACCTTCTTCCAGAATTAAGCCATTTAGCTTTTTGCTTTGCCCTGATTTTTACAGCAGCTTTTCATCACAATTTTTTGTGAGATTTGTGGGGTATTTTTTTTCCCCTTAACTTACTATTTTCATTCTCCAGGAGGAGGTTTTTGTGCCAAGTGGTTCTTTTTATATGATATATTTTTGACCAATTAAAAAAATATTACTGTTTGTTCACATAGTGCCCTATGTAAATCAGAAGGATTTTGCCACAAGTAAGTAAAGTAATGAGATTACTCACTAGAGCAAAAGTCACACTAGCTACTTATATCATAGGAAGTAAGGATAAATCTTTCCAGATTTTTTTCGGTGAATCTCATATAAGATAATTTGTTATTTTCTAATACTCCTTTATATTAAAAACAACTACAACAATAACAACAACCCAGCCTAGCCTAATAAGTGATGATAGTGTTCATAATCAAATAAACTCTGTTTGAGGTTGGGCACTGAGCCTTGTTTGGTTTGTTTTTAATCTGCTGGGAACTAGCAGCTGGAGTCTCCACACGAGGAGCGGGTATCCAATGCCTTACACTCCGTGGAGGTGGAGCTACAGAAACTAACCGAGATCCCCTGGCTTTATTACATCCTCCACCCGAATGAGGATGAGGTATGTAGAGTTCAGCCTGTTTCTATATACATGTAGACTTTATGATGATAGAACTTGAACTCATCCTTTGTAAAAGGACATTCAGGGGAAACTAAATGTTGAATATTACTTTCACATGTACTGTTCATAAACAAACAAGAAAAGGCTTTTGTGTGAACCAAGGAAATATGGGAATCAGTACATTTTCAAGTATATGACATCGTGACCATTTTTGGAGACGTGATCACTTCGATGTCTTTTGTGTTTATAAGCTAGTCCTGTGTTATCTCTAGTATGAGAATGGTTTTCTTCTCTTACCATCCTGAGAAAATTCTCTTCTTGCTTCACTGGAGCAGGAGCCTCCGATGGATTGTGCCAAGAGAAACAGCAGAAGCACCGTGTTCCGTATAGTGCCAAAATTTAAAAAGGAAAAGGCTCAGAAGCAGAAGACCAGTTCACAGCACGGTAGGTGGTCCCCAGGAGGAGGGAAAGTGTAGCATTACGGAAAAATAACTTATTAAAGTGATAGCCCTGAGGCGATGGAAATGTTCTAGACGGTGGCAGTCATTGTTCAACTTGACGAATGTACCAACTGCCACTATAAAATGGTGAGTTTTATTTAATGCTCATTTTACCATAATAAAAAATTATATCTTACCTAAATATGTCCGAATGTCAGTAGGAATCAGTAGTTATGAAACACAAGAAAACGAGGGGGCTGCTGACTTCCTTGGTTTGGCGGCTGTCGAAGCATCTGTGTAGGTGGTTCTTTGTCTCGCTCAACAGCAGTTCTAGGCATTGGCATCTAACTTGTTTCTCCTCTTCAGAGTTCAAAATTCGATAAATGGAACCTAGAAACATTTATATATTACTTTTGGTGGCTAAATGTATTTCCTGCCTAAAGTTCTATACTTTCTCCTGTTGTAAGGACTCACGGCCCCCTTCCAGCCCCTCAGCATGGCAGTCTGCTGTGACATTCGCGCTCTCGAGCAGAGAGTTGTCTTCCCAGTTCCCTCCCACCTTTCCCTAGAGCTTCCATTTAGTGCTGTACCAGGGGCTGGAGCACCGTCAGGTTCTGTGAAATGTGATGGTAGGTGCCTTTCACAATCAGATCAGATTCTGACTTCTCTGGGTTAGCTGTCACCTTTCCAAAAGTGACATATAACCTGATCTTTGACAATCATAGAGCGCTGTTGAAGGGCATTTTAAAACCAAATGTGGCAAATACGTAGGCTTTTTCTCAACTAATCAACACTGAATAAAAGGTATAAAAGAATGAAAAATAATCCAATTTATCTCAGAGAGTAGAGTTGGCCATTTTTAGAGGATGTTAAATCAATTTAACAGGACATTTATTTTCATAATTATCAGTAGTAATAGAATCAACAAAGGCAGCACTTGAAGTCAGCAAGACCTAAAGCAGAAATTTGTGTAAAACCGAGTACCCTGTGTTAGATTTTAAATTTTAGTTAGCATTTGTAGCTAATTAAACTATAACTGGTTTTATATGTAGTTTTAAGGAAATCATTAGAACTTATTTAGACCTTGTACTACTGATCCTAATCATGAGAAATACATCTTTATTTTTTCTTTATTGATTTTAGAAAGAGAGGGAGAGAGAGATAGAAACATCGATTGGCCACCTCCTGCATGCCCCCCCCCCCCACTGGGGATTTGGCCCACATCCTGGGCATGTGCCGTGACCAGGAATCAAACCAGCAACCTCTTGGTGCATGGGTCGATGCTCAACCACTGAGCTACACCAGCCGGACAGAGAAATACATTTTTTATATACACTGTGTAATTGGGGTGGCATTGAGGAGGAAATTGAACTAAAGCTAAGGGCACAGGTGTACTGCAGTGAATGTCTTTGTGTTCCTTGTGTTGACCTGCATGGAAAAAAATGGAACTGGAGTTTTGTTGAAACACCTTTAACCTTTCCCTTTGCTAGCACTGCCGCTGTACTCTGTTTGCATCTTCTTTGGCCAACCTTTGCTTTGTAATGCACTGAGCATGTAGAAATTAAGGGGGTTTTGCTCTTAACTTTGGTAGTTCAGAGATGGGGCACAGAGGAAGTTGCTGCTTGGCTGGATCTGATCAATTTGGGAGAGTACAAAGAAATCTTCATCCGTCATGACATCAGAGGGGCTGAACTTTTGCATCTGGAAAGGCGAGATCTTAAGGTATTTCCTTTGTGCTACTCTTTGCTCTTGACATTTTTTTCTTGCAAAAGAGACTCCTTCTCCTGTCCCTTTTCTGTTTTGTGCTTATAGCTTGGCTTATGTGATGCAACATGCAGTAATCTAACAGACATGTGGTCTGAATTCCTTGTATGCTTTTTAAACAAAAATGTCAAAATCATCCTCTGGCTGTTGTAGCTAAAGCTCAGCATGACTTGAGTAATCTCTGCATTCATCGGTATGGCTGTCTCTGTGTGCTAATATTTTTTTAATGGATGATGTTTCCATCTGCTCATTCTATTGGATTAGCATGAAAGGTGATTGTTGCTGAAATTGACTTTAAAAATCTAATATAAGGCTAACAACTAAAAATTAATTCGAAATACCAATAGCCAAATCTTTCTAATATATGGAAGTAGGTGAGAGACTTACTATATACTGTGTAGTTGGGGTGGCATTGAGGAAATTGAGAGCGGTCCTGTGATTTTGTTTCCAAATTGACCTTTCAGAAAGATGTCAGAGTAACAACTAGGCCAGTAAATTCAAATTCCTTTCCATGACTTATTGTTAACATTGTGTTATTTTCAAAAATAAATTTATTATTTTCTTTGGTAAATGAAGTAAAAATTATGCCTTGCTGTTGCTAGAAAGCAGCTCCGAGCCTTTTTGTCAATTATGACAGAGAAGGAAAATTATGACTTCATGGTCTGCATTCCCTTTCATTCTTTCAGTGGAGACTCAATTGTAGAAAAGGCCAAAGTAGCCTCTTTAAGCCCAGAGTTAGGAGTAGGATTTGTCATGTTATATTTTTAGCACATGCTGCCATTTTTAAACTCCAAGGTGCTTACCAAACAAGTGGCAAAGCCTTTGATATTTATTGGAGTGATCCCTTTCCTGTAGACCAAGTGCTAAAATGCTTGATCCAGTGCATTCCTAACAAATTCATGAACTGTCTGTGTCTTTCCTCTCTAAGTGTGTTAGCAAACATTTCTTAACAGATAAGGGTTAATGTATAGATATTTAGCATGCAGAGTCATACAGTTTTAGCACATCAAAAGTGCTAAACATTTATACTAGAACATTTTTAGCCCAGAATAATAATAAAATAATAGATTAATTAATTACCTTTGTTGAGAGTCCCAGATCTAGAACACAGCAAAAGTTTCAGTGTTCGAGTTCATAAGGTAAAAGTTGACTTCAAAACTTGAAATGAATGCACACACTAAAACAGACGTGAGGGGTCATTATTTCCATTGTGTATATGTAGCTTCTGATATCCTCAGCAGGCAGCAATGTTTCTTGAACAGCTACTGAGTAACGTATTATGCCAGCTTCCCTAGGTGGTATGTGCCTCCAGAAGATTGCATCTCATTTGCCATGAATAAGCACACTCTCAAGAGAAAGACTGTGTGTGTGTGTGTAACTTGTGCATACATACAAACATAAACATGCAAATTTACACACAATGAATGAAGCAAATATTTGCAGAATGAAAAAAATAGTATATACTAAGTCAGAGTGGAAGGACCTGGCTGGAAAAAAAGAGAGTAAAAAGTAGATGGTAAAGAATTATTTTAATAAACTTTCTCTTTACCTTTCATAGGACTTTTGTTTCTGTTTTGTTTTTATTTTTGATACAAATAACATTCTTTCTTAACATTTTTCTTCTAGAAATTTGTATTGATAGTCTTTTTTAATGCTTTTGGTTCTAAAACAGAGTATGGGGAAATGGAAAGAGAAAAATAATTTTTGGGAAGAGCCTTCTGTAGAACAAAACGTCAAGGCAGAGAGGGCGTTGCCCTGGTCTCTGTGGCCGTGGCTCCAGAAGGAGGCACGTGAATCACGTCTCCGAACGTGAAGGATGGCCTGCACTGTCTGTGAGTGCACCAGTCGGTGGTTCCCGAGTCTGCTGCCAGCCCTGACCTCATTTGTGAATTTTAGGAGTATGTCACCGGTTCTACTTGATACCTGGCTATCAAGCAGATATCAAGGGATGCCAATCTTAACATGTGTAAAACAAAGCATTTTGTTGTTGTTGTTAATCCTTGCCTGAGAATCTTTTTTTGAATTGACTTTTTTAAAGATAGTGGAGGGGAGTGAGGGAATAGGGGGGGAGAGAGAGAGAGGAAAACATCGATGTGAGAGAGACACATTGATTGGTTGCCTCCTGCACTCATCCCGACCGGGGCTGGGGATGAACCTGCAACCCAGGTAGGTGCCCTTGACCATGAATCGAACCCAACACCCTTCAGGTCACGGGCCAATGATCTAACCACTGAACCACACTGGCCAGGGCCAAAACCAAACTTTTGATCTCCTCTCCCATTCCCATTCTGCCCCTGTCCAGTGGTCTACATCTTAGAAAATCACCCCTCTCTTCCTTCAGGTGCTTGAGCCAGGGAAACCAGGGTCATACTTGGCACCTTCCTCTTCCTTATCGTTGTGCCCCTTACCCTAAGCCCTTCACAAAGTCAGGTTGCTTTCTCCTTTCCTTGTCCATCTCCATGGGACTGTGACCTCTGCCTGTGTGAGGCTAGTGGCTTGCTGACTGGCCCTCTCCTGCGGCGCTTGCTCTCTCCAGCCCACTGTCCGCATTGCCACCAGAGTGATAATTCCAACATCAGGCATGTCACTTTTCAGCTTAAAACCTTCCAGCGGTTTCTTGTCTCTGTTAGAATAGAGACTGACATCTTGGTGAGGCCAATAGGTTCTGCCTATTTATTCAACCTGCTCTGGAGTCACTGGCCCCTTGCTGGGCTATAACCTTATCTACCTTGGCCTTATTTCATTTGCTTAAAAATAATAAACTCTTTCTCACCTTAGGAGTGTACCCTCTGGTAGTTGGATTCTCCCCCACCCCTCACCTGGCTAATTCCTGCTCGGATCTTGGCTCAGGTATTACTTCCTTGTCACCAAAACAACTAGAGATAGCGATGTGACAGTCTAAAAGTGACAAAGGTGGCCCAGCCGGTGTGGCTCAGTGGCCCAAGCACCAAGAGGTCACCGGTTCAATTTCCGGTCAGGGCACATGCCCAGGTTGTGGGACTGATTCCCAGTGGGGGACATGCAGGAGGTGGCCAATCAATGTTCTCTCTCATCGATGTTTCTATCTCTCTCTCCCTCTCCCTTCCTCTGTCTCTAAAATCAATCAATCAATAAATAAATTTATAAAAGTGACAAAGGGAGAATATTCTATTGTGCTCTAGTGGACAAATAAACTGATTGCATTATTTTTCTCCTTAGCAGACAGTAGGAAAAACTGATGGACACCCCCAAAAAGTGATAAAGACACAGTAGTTTTTGTTTGGTTGGGTTTTTTTTTCGGGGGCGGGGGGGTTCATTTGGTAAGTTGTGTGTATGTGTGTGTGTGTGTGTGTGTGTGTGTGTGTGTCTAGAAGGATAGCTGAGTAACTACAAAGCATGCTTCTGAAAAATTAGGCCTATTCATCCAAAGAAAGCAAAAGCCAATGATAAAGAATATGAAAAATAAATGAAGAAACATGTAACTTTCTTACAGCTGCATAGTATTCCATTGTGTACATGTACCACAGCTTTTTTATCCACTCATCTACTGATGGACACGTGGGTTGTTTCCAGATCTTAGCTATTGTAAATAGTGCTGTTATGAACATAGGGGTACATATATTCTTTCTGATTAGTGTTTCATGTTTCTTAGGGTATATTCCTAGAAGTGGGACCACTGGGTCAAATGGCAGTTCAATTTTTAACTTTTTGAGGTAACACCATATTGTTTTCCATAGTGGCTGCACCAGTCTGCATTCCCACCAGCAGTGTACTAGAGTTCCCTTTACTCCACACCCTCACCAGCACTTGTTTGATTTGTTGATGGTGGCCATTCTGACAGGTGTGAGGTGATACCTCATTGTTGTTTTAATTTGCATCTCTCTGATGATTAGTGACATTGAGCATTTTTCCTTTAAGATGGCTTGGAAGGACCTGGACAGTATTATGCTAAGCGAAACAAGCCAAGCAGAGAAAGACAAATATCATATGATCTCACTTATTTGTGGAATATAATGAACTAAACAAAGTGATGAACAAAATTAACTCAGAGACATAGAGGTGGGGTACAGACTGACAAGCCTCAGAGGAGGGGGGTGTGGCGGGGTGGAAGAGATAAACCACAGAACTTACATGCATGTATGCATGACCAATGAACATAGACAACAAAACTGAGGACGGGGTGGGTGGGGAAGGGGAGGAGGGTGTCAGTGGGGGAAAAATGAGAAATATCTGTAACAAAAACAAATTAATAAAGAAAAAAAAAAAAGCATATAACTAATATCAGCATAACTTTATCACAGCCTAAGTCGTAGAAGACATGAAAGTACTAACTCAAACTAAAGAAAATATAGCTAACAAGTTAATGTAGTCTATGGAAAACATTCATTCCATTATACTTCAGTAGTCATTTTGAATCAAATCTATCCCTCCCAAAGACGTTTTTATTCTCGAGAATACAATGTACTTATGGCCTAAAATAAAATATTTGGTGTTAAATATATATATTTTTCAAAATGTAGTATTTAAAAAATTTTTATTACAGTTTACATTCAATATTATTTTGTATTAGTTTTAGGTGTACAGTGTGGTGATCAGACAATTACACTTCACAGAGTGCACCCCTGTTATTTCCAGGACCCACCTGGCAGTATACATAGTTATTACAGTGTTACTGACTATATTCCCTGTGCTGTACTTTACATCACTGTGACTAGTTTGTAACTACCAATTTGCACATCTTAATCTCTTCACCTTTTTCTCCCATATCTTAACCCCCTGCCATCTGGCAACCATCAGTCTGTTCTCTACATCTCTGAGTCTGTTTCAGTTTTGTTTGTTCATTAATTTTGTTCTTCAGATTCCACATATAAATGAAATCATATGGCATTTGTCTTGCTCTTCTGACTTATTTCACTCAGCGCAATACTCTCTAGGTCCATCTATGCTTTTGCATATGGTAAGATTTCATTATTTTTATGGCTGAGTAATACTTCCTTGTATTTATGTACCACAGCTTTTTTACCCACTCATCTATTGATGGACACTTGGGTTGCTTCCCCAGATAACTATGTTATCACAAAGTATAAAGAATATTTAACATTCCGCTCAAATCAAAGAATCTGAATACAACTGTAAATGCATTTATGTTTCAAATGTAGGCAGCAGGAACTGGTATTGAGTCTTCCTCTAGGATTTGGCCTTGATTTTGTTATTTTAGCCCACACTCGGGAAATGTATAGTTGCCTTCAAACTAATTATGGATGACCTAGTGTCATGTAAGAAAATATTTTTCAGGGTCAGTTAATGTTGTAAAAAATTTACCCTGAAATTATCTCAAGCTTGAAGAGAGCACTGGCTATCAGAAGTGTATTTCCAGAAGGATTCAGAGTCTGAATTCAAATTACTCATAAACTGATATGCGAGAGAGAAACTGCACGTGTGTGTGTGTGTGTGTGTGTGTGTAAAAACAGTTTGATCTGCTTCATTTAAAAGTTTAAAAATAAATGATGCTCTTAGTGTACAAAACAGAGTGGATATTTGAAATTTTTATTTTCTCTGAAAGAATCTTATGGTATCTTATAATTCTATTTTCTTCTTTCCTTTTTCTTTTTGTGTTAATCTTCAACTGAGGATATTTTCCCCCCTTGAGTTTTAGAGAGTGAAAGGGGAGGAGGGAGGGAGAGAGTGAAATAGACATCGATGTGAGGGAGACACTTCCATTAGTTGCCTCCCACACGAGCCCCAATTGGGCCAGGGATCGAACCTGCAACCCAGGTATGTGCCCTTGACCAGGAATTGAATCCAAGACCCTTTGGTGCACAGGTTGATGCTGTAACCACTGAGCAACATCTACCAGGGCTATAATTCTATTTTTCTAGGCTGCTTTGGAAGTAATTGTTTCACTAATTTTCAAATATTTTAAAACTTTGTTTTGTATGGTCAAGTTATTCCACTTCACATATTATGCCTCTTACACCAAAAGAAGGCTGTCCTGTTTGGAGACCATCACCCACCCTTTCATTTAGTTTTTCAGATAGTGAATTTTGTGGCTACCTTGGATGGTTCATTCACTCCTGCAACAGGTATTTGTTTGCCCACTGCCTTCTCTGTGCTGCATACCCTGCAGGCATCTGTTTCTGAAAGTTAACTGGAATTCCTGGTTCTTTATAGAAAATAGTTCTTTAAAAAACAAGAAGAGTTCAGAGGGAAAGGAGCCAAAAGAGGTTGAGGAAAAGCTTCAACCCACAGATACCTATGTTCAAGAAGTTTTTTACACTTACACATTACAAAGTGCAAAAAAAGATTTAAATATTCCTCTGAAATCAAAAACTGAATGCAACTGCAAATGTATTGTGTTCCCAATGTAGGCAGTGGGCACTGGTATCTTCCTGGGGGGTTAGGCTCCCTTTTAAGTTTCTCTTATCAAGATTGTTTCTTTAAAAAAAGAAGGAAAAAGGCAAATGAATTTAAACTCTTGAAAAACTACCATCATATATAACTTATGAGAATGTTACATTTTAGAGTTGTGTAGGATGTGATTATTTTACAGGTTGGTAATTTTTCAGTGTCAGGTTATTTTTGTTTTATAAACTTATTTTCTAGCTTTCACTCCCTGCATCATTGAATATAAACTAAAATAAATGAAGTGAATGCTAATGATAAGTTAAATATTTAATCCCCAATTTTCTCTTGTCAATAAACTTCTTTCCCTTCCTTCCTTCTTTCTTTCTACCTTTTTTCTTTTTTTTTAGGATCTGGGGATATCGAAAGTGGGTCATATGAAGCGAATTCTCCAGGGAATTAAAGAGCTTGGAAGGAGCACTCCCCAGTCTGAGGTGTAATCATATTGGTGCTATTCCTTGGAAGGGAAGTAATTGCTACTTAATACAAAGTCTTTGGAAGCAGTCAACTGTTCTTGTAGTTTTCTGCCAAGATAAGTAAGCACCACTGAAGCACCTCTGTGGCTTGATATTTTGCCATTGGTGAACATTTTGATTTGAGGTATCCGAAAATATTTTTGTGCCAAAAAATACATTCCACAAAGCCATTTTCTTATTGTGCAAACCTGACATGTTCATATTTGCTCATAATAGTAAAAAAAAGAAAGGAAGAATCTGAAACAACTGCATTGTCGTAAAGATGAAATTGCAAAATGTTTGCTTTCCTTAAACTTGGTCGGGTGGAATGTTCTCACTGTGCAACCGCGTCGACGGTTTATGGCTAAAACTTCTTAGGTCGAGTTATTGGCAGCATTGGCTTCTTCCTTAAAATCACTGGTTAGAGGACTAAGATGTATTAAGGTGTGTTTGGAATGTCAGATTCGTATCACTTCAGATTCCTCTTGCTCTGTGGTCAAAGAATATGGTTAAAATCCCTCAAATACTATGACTGAATGCAAAACTTAATGCACGAGGTTGCTGCCTGAATTGTCTTTTTCTTGCATGTCACATCTAATATTGTAACACTCAGTGTTAATGTCAGTTTTAATGGAATTAATTTATTACTACCTGAGTACCATTTTGTTAGCTAAGGGCACTTTTCTGTTCTTTGATGTAGACTTTGCATATATACTCTGTATCTGAGAATTTGTGAACATGTGTCTGTGCCATAGTCAACAAATGATATACATCTTAGGCAAGCCAATTTTGTCAACCTGTCATAAACACTAGGTGTGCACATTAAGAAAATTCTCTGGACGTTTTCGCAAAATTACATGTTTTGTTGTCTAACAACACTATGCTTTCCAAACCAGAATTTCCACATTTGTTCTTATTTTTCCATGTCAATTTAATAGTTCTTTACCACTGTGTTTGCATTTATACTACAGTAGTAGACTGTTGACATCCAGGAATTTCTTCAACGTCTCAACTGCGATTTATATACAGATCAGTCACCCAGACCCACCCACTAACTAAAGTTACTCCTGACATGAACTTCCTCCCAACAAAAGAAATTTACATTTTTTAAAAGGCCTTTACATTATTACTATTATTATCTCATGCAATTCTTATATCTTATCTGGCAGATGTTATTTTCCTTTTCCTAAACCACCATACTATAGTGTAGCTCAGTAGGAGGAGTCAACATTACAATGACCAAATCTTTGAAAGCCAAAGGCATGCATATCAAAAAGTCACACAAATATCTCCAAATAAGCTTTTTTAGATATATGCCAAAAATCAATTATAATACTTAAAAATCTTCTATATATAAGAAGCAAGCAGGGTACTGTACTGACCCAGTAGTGACAGTTTTCATAAAGTAGCCTTCTAGATAGATGCTCAATAGCAATGCATACACACCCATATATACATATACACATATATATGTATATTCACACATAATCACAAAATGTACTCATTGATATTTTTTAGACAACTATTTGCTGAATGCTTAAAGAGAAATATTGATGGGAAAGCATTAAAATGAGCTATTATCAGACAATTTAATTATATCAAAGGAGTTTAAATATTTTATACTTTATTCTTATTTATAACTTGAGAATTTAATTACAAGTAGAACTTTTTAAAAATTGGTTATCTTAAAAAGAAATGAAGCTGATGGGTTCCTGCCCAAGTCTGTCTGGCATATATATTTTTTACTTAAGTTGTGAATAAATGGAAATTTTCCCGAGAGCATATCATGTAGCTTAACGGAGTAAAAAGCTATTCACTTAAAATGTTAAGGGCATCCACACCTAAGGAGTCACAGGTCTTCTTTTCCAGTCCCTTCTGTAGTCCCCTCACCCTGCAGGTGTCCTGCTCTTCCAGGCACTTCCCTCTGAAATCAAAGCAGGAGATGCCAGGCTCTCACAGCCCTGCTGAAGTCACAAATCCCTGCCCAGGAGATGCCAGGCTCTCACAGCCCTGCTGAGATCACAGATCCCTGCCCAGGAGATGCCAGGCTCTCACAGCCCTGCTGAAGTCACACATCCCTGCCCAGGAGATGCCAGGCTCTCAGAGCTCCTCTGAGTTCCCAGATCCCTGCCCAGGAGATGCCAGGCTCTCACAGCCCTGCTGAGGTCACAGATCCCTGCCCAGGAGATGCCAGGCTCTCAGAGCTCCTCTGAGTTCCCAGATCCCTGCCCAGCTGTACCAGAAAGGAAAGATAGGGGTAAGGAGGTGTGGAACTCTAGAAAAGAATGAATTAACATAAAAATCTTCATTGATTTTCACTCCCCCAATATACCCTTTGCCACCAGAAAGATTCTCAAGCTGTTACTTTTCAGAATGTAAGAGGAACATGTAATTGACTGGATTTTTTTGTTTGATGTTGATCTTTCACTCTTAGATACCATCTCTTACATTTACTGTAAAAGCTCAGTTAGTAGAGTCTTGAGTTAGGTAGAATTTTCCTGCAAGTGGCTCTTGGATGAGGGCAATCCTTTAAAATGACACTTTTTATTAAATGAGAGCAAATTTTCCTGTACACTTTGTCATGTGTGGCTGTGTAGGACCCGAGTGACTTCACTCACACCTGTTTATCAGGGCGGTGCCCTCAGAGCCTCCTTAGGCCCCTGTCAGGATCACAAGGACCCAGTTTCCTATAATAGGTGGAGTTACAAAGAAAAGAGTAGGAAGAGCTTCTCTACTGATCACCACTCGGGGGGCGTGGTGAGGCCTCTGTGTCTTGGCCCATAAACTGAGTGAGCAGCCCAGGACTCTGATTGCCACTTGTCCTCCTGCTGGGCTCTTGCACGTGCAGGGAATTGGGGAGGGGTAGAGAGGAATCACAGCCAACATCTGCTTCCCTTAAGTCTCATTTTCCTGAGGAAGAACTGGCTTTTCAAGAAGGAGAGGGACAGAGTCAGGCCTAAGGAAAATTTCGGCTTTTCCTCCTTCTGGCTTCACGTTCCCGGTGCCCAGTACAGGGACGGTGGCTCCGGTTCTCATGCTGTGTATACCCTTTCCTCATCGGCGGCCTGCTCACAGTGGCTCCTGTCATCTCTCCCCACCTTGGCACTCACTGTGGGTCATCCAGCAGAGTTTGAGGAAGAAGACAATTTTAAAAAACTAATTTTACAGTTTGTATTTTATAAAAGGAAATTTGCCAATCTAAGTGAATTGATGGATTAGATAATTTGGGGATCGTGATGTACATTGTTGTGACAGGAGAGGTGACCTGTGAATGTCTAAATCTGTGCTGTTTGATGTCATAGCCACTAGCCACATCTGGCGGTTTAAATCTAAATTAATTTATGTAGAAATGGAGTTTCTCATTGGCACTAGCACATTTCAAGTGCGCAAGACAGTACAGATGTTGAACAACTGTCCTGGATAACAGTGGTCTGCAGCATTGCTACCCACATGTGGTCCATGGCCAGCAGCATCCCTCATACCTGGGAACTTATAGAAATGCAAATTCTTAGGTTTATTCCAGACCTACTGTATCAGAACCTTTTAACAGGATTCATCAGGTAGTTAGCACTGACCTAAATATGTTTTCTCCCTCCTGGCTGTTAGGGATCTGAGGTCTTCAAAAGGCCCTCAGAACAGCTCGCTTTCCAACACACTGTTTCATATTGCTTCTCCAGCTAATCCTAGCAATCCTTTGAAACTCGTTTATCACCCTACCCGAGTTTTCTTCTCAACCCACAGTCCTAATTCTGGTTCCAGATGAGCCCTACCCACCCAGTGATTATATTTTGGTCCCTGACATTGTACATTCACTCAGTGTGTTGCTCATGTGGCATTTTCATTTGTTCACAACTTAAGGCACAGGAAATCTTTCAGAAGAATATGTACTGAGATAAGTCAAGACTGGGCCAGTCTCTTACAACCTGTTCAGTTTCACTTTTCCTTATCAGTAGATTATCCTGTTGACATAGTTCATGGTTGGGGACACAGCAGCACACGCACATTAAATGAATCATTAGGTATGAAACCCCAAAAGAAGGCAAATAAAGTTTGCTACACTAAATCTGTTTTTCTTATTATGCTAACTTACCTTGATTTTCAGATAGCTAGTAATTTTTTAAAAATAGTACCTCAAAAATATTATATCATATTCTTGACCCTCAAAATACATATTATTTAATTCTACGATAAGATCTTTCTGGGTGACCTATTGCTAATAATCCTTCACTTAATGTTTACATATTGATATAATTTACCAAAACATTACTGCCTAGAGATTCTTTATCTATCTTTCATGAATAAAGAGGGCACTATTTTAATCTTCACGAAAGTAATTTTTAATAGGAATTGAGGAAGGAAATATTCATGCAAAGCCACGACTTAGAAAATTATAGTGGGAACTTCTACACATCTTTCTGAAGTAAAACATCTATTGTCTCCAACTGGGCTGACAACATATCGCACTTCTGTGTTTTACAGATGTGAATTCTTTAAGGGTGTAGCTTTTCATTAAGCTATAAAAGCATAACTTCTCTCAACCCTGATACCTAGGATTTCTCCTGACCTTCTCTCCACCCCCAAAATAAACTCACCCTGCATTTTTCAGATGAAATGTGGATGAGACAGTGGGTTTCGAGACTGGTGACACAAGTGGCAGTTTTAAAATACCAAGTTCTGCAAAGCAGCTGAAACAGTGAAGATCCCTCCGATACTGTTAGCTTCCCAGCGGGCCCCGCGTGCCTGGGGCCGTGCCTCTCCCTCTCCGCTCCCCACCCAGTGCCAAGTGCAGTGGGGCCTGGGACTTGTCTGTCTACGGTGGCATCCCCCTGTGACTTCTGTACAGCATCTCTGTGTCACAGGGGTAACATGCTGCCTTTACGATAGGATGCCTTCCTAAAGAAACAACCAAAACTTTAAAAAGGCAATGATTATTGGTTTTATAATAAGCAAAGCACTAAATTTTAATCTTCATTGTTGTTTTCTCTCTACTATTTTCTCTAAGTGTTGTTGACATATTTCTGTTAGAATAAAAAACTGTAAAGGTTTATTATTACGAAGAACAGTGAGATAAGACACAGCTGGACTGTACCTATTTGTATACTTTCTTTTATTTTCAGGAAAAGAAGTTTAACAGAGTAACTGAGACTGCAGTAAACTCAGAAATGAAGTTTTTAAAAATCCTATTACTAATATAGGTGAACAAATTAATTGCCTTTATGTACCTAAGATATTCTATTTACATTTATTTATATCCTCTCTTAATTTTTTATGCACTTCCAAGTTTTAGTTGGAAAAATAGAAATCAAGCCACTACTTAAAAGTTCTGAAAACTTTACATTAAATATTTCATTTTAGCTACAAGTTATTCATTGTATAGGAATTTATTAATAGTCTGGGTATTTCATAGGAACTGCATTTCAAGAGTAAAATAGCTAAACTTAAAGGAATATAGAGTTACTTTAAAATGTATTAAAATAAGTTTTATACTCAGTGATGCCATTGAAGTAGATAATGCAGTTAGATACACAAGCTGAAAAGGAAAGAGAATCTATTTTGTGGTCCTTACTGTTTGATTGCACTATTGTTTACCACAGCTTAGCCATGTCTATTTCTATATTCTAAGTATTAAGCTGACATGTAACTAAAGATTTCGTAACAGTTCTGGTAACTGGTAACTAGTGCTGTGAAAGGTTTGGTATTGTCACATTCCCAGCTTTGTGAGTTACAGATTGTATATTGAAGATGACTAAAATTGAAGTAATATATTTGACTAGAGCTGGGAAATATGGTAATTATTTTCAAATCTTTAAGTGAGTTGTATAAATTCTTTTCTTCCTCTTAAATGAGATAAAAGTCTTACTTTTGTTAAAATGTCTATTTATACAACAAAAGGTTTCTTCTTTTAATGGTTTTATTA